AATAAGGGTATCAACCCATAACTTTAGGATAGTATTCATATTTGTACTAGCAATGTATGGTGTACAACTCAGAACAATAGCTCATCTATCCTTTTAGTTATGAACTAGTTTTATAGTACCCCCTAGAATATTTTCCTAGGGGGGTAAAAATGCCAAAATTTAGTGTCGTGACCACCCCGCTGAGCTGTCATCTTTTAATATCTTTATCAGCATGAAAAACTGATCTAGTAAAAATAGGTCTGTTGCTTTTTCTAAAAAATGCCTCAAAAACTTGAATTATTTGAATTGGAACCTGTCTATAAAATTAGTGGTACAGAGTATTTTTGACCACCTCACTGACCACCTGTGTTATTTCAATAAGAGGATCCTTAAAAGAATTACTGAATTTGAAACCATTAACTTTTGTAAAACCTGGAAAATCAAATCATATTTTTGTCCAGTAGACAATTTAGCAAAGGACAAGGTGCAATTATTGGCAAATATCCCTATGGTCAAAATGAATCATTCGTAGGTGTAACATGAAGAAAAAAATGTCAAATAATACTTTGGAAAATATTAAAGTGCTCGGACATACATAAGCTGAGATAGGGATCATTTCGTTCAGTAAGGTTGTATTGACTTACATGGGGCTGTGCACCATTGACTTAACATGAGGATATCAGCAGATCCCAATAGAGGCCATTGGTTTCCATTGATTATCACAGAAATACCAAAAATACACTATGACCTGAATCGATTGCAAACTTAATAATTTCACAATACGACACAAATGGTTTATCTCATCAAATGTGCAAATATGAAGTTTGCAATCGATTCAGGTCATACTTAAAATTAAAAGATTGTACATTTTTTCATCATTTTTTCCCTACAAAATGGCTATAGAAAAATGCTCCAAAAACAACTTTTACACTTATCAAATATCGTGCAAGTTTGTTAAACCAAAGATTATACTATTATATTTCATTATGTAGTAACATATTTGGATAAGATGCAGGGATGCATAGGATGTAAATGGATTTTGACAGACACAAAAATACTTCCTGGTTTGGAATCTATGCCTCTACACTTCATGATTGAATTATGACCCTAATAAGTGGCCTATACATCAATACAGTGCTGAATATAGGTCAACAAGATTCTAGTGTGCATATAAATGTAATAATTGAAGCAGAATACTCATTTTGAAAAATCAGATGAATTATTTTTTTTCCCATGGGGAGATCCCAATGGAGGGTGTATAAGGTCCTTTAATTGTCTCTTAAAATTCTAATTTTGAAAGCAATCGGATAGATGGATCGTTCCTCATATGACTTATGGCAACCCAACCATTTCCTATTGGTTTACCTGGGGTCTGCCATTTTTTTCTAAATTTCATGAAATTCATCAATTTTAACATCAAATTTTGACCCAATGTAATGGAAATATAACATTGAAATGTTGCGGACTTTATAGGGAATAGAAGATGAGGAGTGTATGTGGTTAAATACTATCGTTTGGCTTGTATCCTTTTAACTTTGATAAAGACTTTGGCGTTGTTGCATCAGCACATTGGTGTTTTTGCATCATTGATAATAAACATAGTGGTGTTGTTGCATCAATAGTGAGCGACTAAAACCGTGAATTTATCGCTTCTGGATGATGCATATACTTGGCAGTATTTAAAAATATAGATCGTGCGCACTTGTATGATTATCGAGAAACTCGTCCTAGAAATGGGTTTAAATTTGGAAAACAAAATATCTTGTGAAAATGTAGCACCGGAAGCCTGGCCATCTTGATGCAACAACACGGTATTGTTGCATCACTACCCCCAGTGGTATTAGAATTCTAAAATGAGAGAAACACATTGCTTGGAGTCTGAAATTGGTTATTTTGCTGCAGCCTCTTGTATTTTTCATCTGTCTCTTGTAAAAAGAAATATTGAAACTGCTGCTTCATTAATTTGTTATTTTTCCAATTCTAGTTGTAAATTGTCGTGTGATACTAATAGTAATTATTCGGAGATCGAATTGGGACAAAATGGCCTTCAAATGGGTGTATTTTTAGTCATGGCTGTACAAGCTAATTATACGTACAGTAATATGTGTATATTTTAAATTTTTGTAGTATTTGATCACATTTATGATGCAACTTGTTTCTTCTATTTATGTTAACATTCATATAATTGAAAAAATATACCCATACCTTTGACTAATGTCACAACCAATGCCAATACTTCGAATACAAGTAGATTTTTGTGCATTCTGGTTTTCTGAAACAACTATGAACTGTTGTATTTGTAAAACTGTGTTCTGCAAATATCGATTTAACTTCTAGTTCTACGCCGTTTCGACATCTACTGATTGACAGTGATATCTAAGCTACCATCGACAAAACAAAACAAAACACTTACAGATAATAGAAAACAATGGAAGTATTTGTACATGGTGAGCAAAACACAGCCATAGTCTAATGATTTTGTAAATTAATCTGACTCGTATTTAAAGTGTTGTTAGGTCAGTATATAACAAAGAAGGTGTCTGAAATTGGGAAATTGAGAATACTATCTTTATTGTGGAGGATTAATTGCCATTTTCCCAAAAAAGTATTATTGGTCTTTTATTTTCAAATATTCCACATAAAATCATATTCCCCCAACATTTTCAATGTATTTTATGAGTCATCCTTTGAAGAATCTTGGCCAAATATCTCTGTTAGGTCACATCATTTTTGCTCACCCTATACATTACATAACGTGAGTTATACACTAGTGAACCAATGACACATTATCTTTTTTGTTTAAGTAGTCAAATAATGTAATTTGTTCTACTTCAAATTACATTTTTTTATGTAACTATTGGGACAACGAGTTCTAGTCCCCTCTTAGAACTGAAAAAGTGGTATTGTAATTTGATATCGTTGTATAATGTCATGTTACTTCAAGATAAGATTTTTGAAGAAAGAGAATGGTTTCGATTTGGTTAAGCAGGTTTGTATAAGACATTTATTTCAATGAAGCTATCAATGGAATATATGAGGGTTATGTTATGGGAGGTTTTGGATATGAGGTATATCCTTGGGGAAATAGATATCTTACCGAGGGCCCGGAGGCTGGGGTATTTTTCTTTTTGCATTAAGATCATTTGTTGAAACTTTGATTAATTCACACCGGAATAGCCTGACAACGGTAAAGTCAGATACCGTTGTCACAAATGGCGGACATAACCATCGCTTCATTATTGATTGTTTTTCATCTGTAGAAAAACAATCAATAAAAGTGTCTTTATACTCATAGTACAGTTAATAATGTTCTCCCATCGAAATAAAGTCTTTAATTTAACCGATCAAAATGAGATACGGGACAACGGACACTGAATTACCATATGCCGTTGTCTTTGTAAATTATTTCAAATTCAGATTCCGTTGTCATTGACGATATCGAAGACGCTATATCGTGGCATTTCACGACCCAATTTGATCAAAAATGGGATTTCACATGATACATTATCACAAGAGCTTAATACATGCACAGAATTAGCGACGATAAAAATATACAGTTCATGAAAATCGAATTGAAGCGACGATTATGTCCGCCATTTGTGACAACGGTATCTGACTTTACCGTTGTCGGGCTGTTCCGGTGTGTATATGTAAGGGGCCATTTCAAAATATCGGAAAATTAATTGTATTTGAACAGTTATGGGGAGGGGGTAATTAGCCTGAATAGTTAGCTTTCCGACATCGTTCCCGGGAATTTTATTTGAGCAAATTTTATTTGATATACACTCAGGAATTTACTGTGAGGTACAATACAAGAGATAATCTTATGCTGATACTGTTCAAAAATACAGATTGGAATATATATAAAAAATTGAGTGCATGACACATTTTGTTAAATGTAGTGGGACTTAAATGGAATAATGCATATCAACATTTATCCCATATTTGGACGTGTTGCAGATACATTAGGTGGTTATTAGGTTAAACCTCTTAGGTTTTCTGGAATAATGTATGGAGATGTACTTTAGGGATTTTTAAAGAATAAATATGAAAAGGCATGAATTGGACTCAAAACATTCTAAATTGAAACAATCTTTGGAAAAGTCATTTTCTAGATCCGATTCTCTCTTTATTTTATCTTTCTGGTAGATAATATTATCACAATATGCTGGAATGATGTTATAATTGAGTAAAGCGCAATCCAGTGGTGGTTACAAAGCTTTTACAAGTCCATTATATAATCCATTCAGTAAGGCAAATGCAATGTGTAACCAACAACAATGAGTGATTATTCAAAAATGATAACATACCTCAAAACACATTCTAATTCTTTGTATATGGCACATTTTATTGCATAAATACTAAAATATATAATTCCAATGTTGAATCAGCTGATTTACAATTTAAACAATTTTACATGTTCCCTGGATTTATACATACAAAAATAATTCAACTCTTTATTGATAACATGCATTGAAGTACAATTCAAATGGGATGAACAGCCAGTTAGCCAGAGTCGAGCACTCACACATCTTAGGAGTGTTATATGGGTAGAGGGTCTATTGGATCTTTGGATTTCTTACAAGGAGGACTGGCTCCCAGGGTTCCAACTCAATATTCTGCCAAATATGGAGTCATGGCATGATTGCAAAATTCAAAATCAAACAGCCGTCATTTTTCATTTCAGAATTTCAATCGCGTGTTTTGATCTTATTTCCAAAAACAAAAAATTTCAAAAAACACACAAGAAGTGATCAAGATATTAGTTCAAATTTTTGAGATCGCTGATAATATAGTCAGTTGTAATATCAGAAAATAACAACGTTTTCAATGTTGTTGTGAATCAAGGTCAAGGTCGAATATTGAGTTGGAGGTATGGACACCAACCCCCTTGGATTTTTTATGCCTGGTATATTGGGATCCCATGATTATATACCTCATCTTGACAGACCACCATATGTGCTCATGCAGATTCCATAATTCCAAATATGGTCATGTAGACCCCAAAACATGACTATATTTATATGATATTATTTTTCCAGAACATCAAGTATTTGAGAAAATATAATCAATAAACATGGCTCTTTATCAACTGTTCATCCCGCTGGTTTCATGGATAGAAACTGATTCAATAATATGAGTATAAAGTCTAACAAACTGTAGAAATAAATAAAATATTCAGTCAAAACAGTTTAAAATAATCCAGCAACTCAGTGGTCCTTAACAGGAATAATTAATAATAACAATTGTTTTCATGTAGTTTGTTTTATATTGTTATGTAGCACATTTGCCTCAAATAGCAGTCATGTAGTCCACCATGCACATAAGAGGGATTAATATCATACATGTACTCAGGATGTATCTTCCCCACTATGGGATATAACCAATATCTCCTGAACAGTCTGTGCATTTACAGTTTAAAGAATAGGCAAAAACGCCTTCCAGTAAACATGATAAATTGCCTTTTATAACAAGGATATGTCACTGTGGTGCCCTCTTTTAGGTGTTTCAAATACCCCTTAATGGTAAACAAGCCATTGCTCCACATTGGTCATGAAGTTCATTACTCAGAATTGGTAGTTATTGGTTGTCATCGTTTAGAGTTGGGGGTAGTTACAGGAACTTGGTTTGGTGTAGAGACCAGAGTTTCAACTACATGTGGTAATTTCTCCAACTTTTCCTTTACATGGCCTGGTAAAACATCACTCTCGCTGTACCTGGGATACACAAAAACATGGCATGATGAATTCAAGCATATGGACATGGCATAATTTTGACAATTCATTCATGTTTCTATTTTATATATTTTCTCTGGTAATTTACTCTTGGGATGGATAAAATTAATATCATGTACTTTCGTTTCATCATACAAAGTTTCATGTTTTTTACATAACAAGACCTGGTACTGGGTAATATTTATTGTTTCATGCAGTTTTACTTTCATCCATTTTTCACATGTTGGAAGGTTTTCATTTTTAAACTGACCTGAATGTTTTGCCAGAGGGGTCCACATATTTCACTCTCATTACAGAGGACTGCACACTAAGCTGAGAGCCATCATTGAACTGAACTAACACCTCACCATTAGATAACTGGAAATAGAAAATGTTATGCTGGTCACATATTTTAATATGCCAAACGCTTTGGAAAAAGGGCCATTAAAAACAATGAATTAAAAATAAATAAAGTCAAGACTAAATTGTATACAATGGATGAAAATCATTCAAATGATGAATGTATACAGAAACCCCTCACATGAATCTATATTATGCACAACATAGACCAACTAAGTTAGTGGAAATATTAATGAATGATAATGTTAGTAAAATCAAATGTTTGCATTGCATCAAAATTATCAAATATTATGCTGATTTCATTTATTCATTTCTATGTTAAGCCATAATAGATTAAAAAATCTATGTGCCACTGTATACATGTTGGCAAATAATAAACAGAAACATGATTATAATACAACCAGTCTTCCTTACCTGTGATGCCCAGCCTATCCCAGCTACAAACACACTCTTCACAACTTTGCTATTGCTGCCTTTTCTTTCATGTTTCATCCTTTCCCGACTGCTCTCCTGTCGTGACTTTGCTCTACTTGGCTCAGTTTTCAATATATCCCTACTCAGGTTTTGATTTTCTTTCTCTTTGGTTGTTCGTGATACTGGATGATGCTTCATAACATCTGCCTTGAAATCCTCGCTTGAGTTTTTATCCTTTAGAGAATTGGAATCATTGTTATTTGAGTCATGGGTTGAGTTTATAGGATGATTATTTTGATGTTTTAATTTACTAGACCCAGTGTTGGGTGTTGTATTGTCAGATGTAGCTGGTTTTCTCGTGGATTTCTCCACCATGTCTGATTTTGGTGGTACAGTTTTTCTATTCAAGTGTGATCTCATACTGGCAACAGTTCCATCATAAGACACCATCTAAAATGTAAAATGTCATTTTAGTTTTACACACAGTTAATCTTTATTTCATAATTTACAATTATGTAGAAGCAAGTGACAAACAAAATCCTAAATACTTTAAAACCAGGGAGCATTGACACTGACAGAAGATATATATCTTGTTGAGTCTTTTGATTTGAATGACTTCTTAGTTTTAATAATCCACTAATTACACAGCAAATATAATTTGGCGCCGTTTCAGCATCGAAAACATTTGGCACTGTTCCAGCACCGTTTCGGCACCGTTCCGGCACCAAAACCTTTCGACACCAAAATTTGGCACCGGACTAGTCAGTCCAGTTGGTGCTGAAACGGCAACGAAATTTAGCACCGAAACGGCGTCGAAAATCAGATTGCATTTTGGGGGTGTATATGTTTTAATGACTAGTAAGGAGATTCTTACAGTAGGGTTGACAGTTGGAGCAATAGATGGGGACACTATAGGTCTATCCTTCAATGCGGGGGTAACATCTTTGACAACACGGGGTGGAGTGCTAGCATCTGGATGCACAGTTGGTGTCGCCAGAGGGCGCCGTCCAATTATAACAGGGAAGTAATCCTGCTCTGAATCTTCCTCTTGTGTTCTCCCTAATGTCGCCTCTACATCCTGGCATCTACGATGACACTGGATCAAAATGTAAATAAAATGATAGAAACGGGAAACATTTTAGTTGGCCATGTAAAATGATAGATGATCATATGTAGCAATACAAAACAAAATATATCAAAGAAAAATAAGGTAGGGGTTATAGGCTATTAGATAAGAGCACTTTAATGCATAATTTTTGATGAAAATTAAACACAGTGCTGTGAACCAGAAGCAGATTAATAATCTGAAATCTATTTTTGATGACATATTCCCCATATATCTGATTCAAAATGAATACAGAAAGTATTACCCACCTGGTGTACATAGTGCCAGAGTTGCTGTGTGCTTGGTGCCAGATGTTGTATGTTACCATGGTGATCTAGCATCATTGATGTCCCATCTTTCTCTATGATCTTTGTTCCTTCACTAGATTTATTCATCTTGGCACCTGGGATCACAGAAAAAATACAAGGACCACATAAAAAATACATGGAAAATGCTATATTTAATAAGATTTAATAGAATTTAGAAGATTTTGGTAGAATGAAGATGATTTCTGTGTTAAACTCAATTTTTTTTGGTGCAATTCAAACATTTAAAACAGTACTGATCTAAATACTGACTTCATGTATAAAGAATGTAAAAATACAAGGGACTTGCTTCTTAGTGATTTTTGAAATGTGATATGGCTTTCACTTAGTACTTACCATCATAAAAGAGGACCTCAAAGTCAGCCTGTGGGGTGTTCTCCATCAGCATGCACTTGGCCTGTCTTGTGTATAATGTCACTTTGGGGGTCTTAGAACGCACAAGCTTCACAAACCTATGAATATGAATATAAAGTTAAAATGCATTTAGAGTAACAGTTAATTAAAAAAAAGAGATGTGTTTTATCAAATGTCAGATTATTGCATTCAAACTGGGGCAATAAAATCCAGGCCTGTAGCCTGAGGGAGGGAGTTTGAGCGACTCTCCCTGTCCAAAAATTCTTTCAAAGATCATGCAGTATTTCACAATTCTAGAGATTTGAGAATTATTTATTATTATTTTTATGTAAAACACACTCAACCACTCACCTTGCAGCATATTGATATTTCTTCCAGTACTTTTCGGGTATATCTGGGTAAACATAGGTGTCTCCACCAGTTGTTGGGGGTGATGGAGGTCTCTCACCAAGACACGTAGATTTTCCTGTCTTTGGTTGATAAACAGTTACCTAGAATGAATAATTGTATAGCACTACGGTACAACATTTTCATATGTATTCTATGTAGATGATTGTTTTGTAATTTTACTAAGCAAACTAAATAAAATTTCTGACATAGAAAATCACTTGATTAATAAAAAATGAATACATGTACTTTGTTTTACATCTTTTTAGAAATATGTCCCTTTAAATTCAATAGTCCCTGGAACCAAAAAGGTAGACTGATCTCTTATAAGTAAAATGACCTCTTAGGTAAATCAGTGATCTCCACAGGATTTTTTTTCAAGTGGGTGCAAAATTCTCATTTTCACCATTCAGACCCAAACTGATCAAAATATGCCCATTTTTCATGATTTTTCTCATTTTCAAATGGGTGCAAATGGATTTTCAGGTGGTTGCAAGCCTATTTTCAAAATATCAGGTGGCCTGTGCTGCCCCCACTTGCTTTAATGCTGGGGAGATCACTGAAAATGGACATAAACTGCCCTCTTATACAGTATCTATGCTGTATGTCAATCCTAAACCAGAATCTTACCTTCTGTCCATCAGCAGCTATCCTGAAGACTTCTACTATGAACTCATTCTGGTCTCTGCTTTTAATGAACTCCAGGCAAACCTCCCCATTCTCCAAAATGTTCACCTTTGTTACAAAAATATCAAAAACTTAGTCTCCCTTTGTAAAAGATATCAATTCAATCAATCGAATAATCAATCAATTAGAAGCTTTTTCAAATGAAAAATCAAGCTATGTATTTATCAAATAGCAGTAATAAAATCATTTTAATGGTCTTACTGAGAGAAACACTTTAAAAACCTGACATTCAATACTCACCACTGCATTTCGTGTTATCAATCAAACAACCAACTAATCAGTAGTTAAATCATTTTACAGCTCTTAAAACACTATACAAATATTGCAAACCAAACTCACCACCGCATTTCGTGTTTTCTGCCTTATGGGTCTGAGTCTCTCAGCTTTTATTGGTGAAGTCAAGTCAGAAAGAGACTTGCTTAGTCTAGATTTGCTTTTCTTCAGTGCTTTTTCAGGAGCAACAGACTTTGAGATTGGAGCAAGTGTTGACACTACTTCTTTACTTCCATTGCTGCCAAGGTTTGGGACCTCACAATTATTGTTTTCATTCAAGTTTCGATCATTTAATTTTTGTTCATCTGGATTATGAATAAAATGTTTGATTGGCTTTATATTCTGAGAGCGTTGTATCTGCTCAGTAGAGCTGTATATCCGATCGTGATTGGTCTGTCTTGAATAACAATCTACTTGTCTTTCGGGATAGGATTTCCCCACAGTAGGATTAGGCACTGTGTTAATGTCATGGACATTTTTCCTTGAAGGACCATCTCTATCCCTGTATTCCCTTGTGGGAGATGGAGGATTGTTCTCCCGTTTGTATGCGCTTGAGTTAGTTCCCATAAACTCACGCTCAGAGTGAGGCTCATAAGCATCAAAATTATGGGACTTTTGCGAAACAAAGCTCGTTGTATTTTGGTGATACTCACTGAATTGGTGAGATCTACCATTATTTGGCCTGTTTTTCTCATCTGTGAAATCATACCTGCTTATCTGGGTTTCGAAGCCTTGTGTTGGTTGATAACAATCTGAATTGTAATCTTTTGATTTTTGTATATAATCATTTGGTTGTTCACTATAATCATTTGGTTTATGATGTTTACGATTGGGTGATTCGTAACTTCTTGGATATACTAGGCTATCATATTCTCCTAATCGTCTATTTATATTTGTGGTATGGGGTCTCTCCGAGTTACTTATATTTGTGCTATTGGGTCTCTCTGAGTTGCTTATGTTTGTGCTATGGGGTCTTTCTGAATTGCTTATGTTTGTATTGTGAGGTCTTTCACTAAATACCATATCAGACTTGTGACTGTCTATGTAACCTGAATAATCATTGCTCTTAGGAAACTTAGAATTAACATCCTTATCAATAGACCTGTGATTGTATTGATTTTCCTTGTCATGAAAATTAAAATCTGAGTGCTGGTCCTTGTCATGATGCATAAAATCAGACTGGCTTTTGTGGCCATATTTATGATTTGAGTAATCTTCACGAGGATTCGATCTGCAAGCTGAACCCTGAGAAATTTCATTAAAAGGTTTATCTGAGTATGGGCTGTAGTTGTTGGCTTTAAAACTTGGACCGTTCTCACGATCTGGTATTCCATATTTAGTTGATGTGGTTTTCTTGGTAAGTTCATTTAGCCATTTATGCTCCGCGTGGATTTTCTGTAACATTGGCTCTGTGGCGCATGGACTGGGCGGTTTCTGTGGTACACCAGACTCGCTGAAATGAAATATAAAATGTACCTGCATATGAACATCATAACTCAAAGAAGTACAAGTATTTTTTATCCAATATCATGATGCATATTATTAGCAGAGAAAAGAATATAGTGACATACGTGTCTCGAAGCCGTACTGGAGGAGAAGGAGGATGGTTCCCATACGGCATTGGAGATGAAGGGTGACTCCCATAATGCTTATCTTCTTGGGAAGTGTATCCTCCATCTTGAGGTCGTGATTCAAATCTATAGAAAAATGTTGATAATTTAGACAGTATGAAGCCTTATATAGTAGTCAGTGTTTAGTTTTCCAAAAGGTTTTATAGATTTGCACACATTGCGAAAAATTAAGTTAGCAAATTTAAAATCATAAAGTAGAATAAAGACAGTACTGCCCTCTTTAACCTCTTGACTACCCAGAGTGACGAGATTTCTCGTCACCTCAGAAATGACCTTGAAACCCAGAGTGACAAAAAAATCCGTCACAAAATTGTTTACTAAAATTGCTCTTATTTTAACAATGTTTATCCAATTTACACAAAAATTGTTTTAAAATGTCTAGAAATGATCTCCGCCGTCTAATTTTACTAAATTGAACATCATCTGTTGTGTATCTATGTAGTAAAATGTCAAAAGCTGTCAAAAATGAAAAATGATCTGGTTTCAACCTATTTTAGAACCTGGGATTCAAGAGGTTAAAAAAGAATTTAGGTCCTTAAATCAATGTTCAAATGGTAAGAAGGTCATAATAACATATAATTTACTATAACTATTATTTAATCTACAAATGTTATGTACTTGTTTTCTGTGAATTTGTCTCGCTCTAAAAAATCCAGATTTGGATCAGATGTCTTCTGGGTAACAACAGGAAATGCTGGGAAAGGACGTTGCCTGGAATGACTTGATCTGATTGTTGTAGATATGGTTGCCATGGTATCCCTTCCACTATCCATAGATGCTTCTACCATTGGCTGAAACAATGATAGAATATAAGGCATGTGTATCAATATTTAAAAGGGCAAAAAATTGTCAAAACTGTACAATTATATTAGCTCACGGCATTCATTGTCATGTCCCCTAAATCTACAGTTGATGAACAAGTGCCCCCTAAATCTACAGTTGACGAACATGTGACCCCTAAATCTACAGTTGACGAACACATGCCTTTATTACATGGAATTGCTTTCATTTTTGGGATATTTGGCAATGCAAAGGTGAACATGATCAACTTAGTGGATATAAGTGGGTCTAGGATTTTAACAAGAAAAGACAAACAACACATTCCTTTATGCTGTAAATAATATACCTTTTTGAAGCTAACTTAGACAGTCAAATGTATGTACTACAGAGAGTATGTAAATTCATTACACGTTTGCTTGTTCATTTACTTACCTTCCTCATATCATTATGTGTATATGCTGAGAGTGGTTGTCGTGTCATAAATGGGTGGCTCAGAATATCTGCAATACATAAAAATACAATGCAGAACAGTAGAAACAAGGCACTAACGTGCAAAATGTCACCACCTACCATTTGCTACATCAAGTGCCACATATCAACTACGGAATGCCAAAAAAATCCACAAAAAAGTGGTGACATAAAAACTGTCAAGCACAAAAGCTCAGTAAGTGGAACACCTCCATAGTCTAGAACACTGTTCAAAGTCATGTGACTTCTGTGAGTGAATCATCTCCCAAGTGGAACACTGTTTAGATAAAATAAAGGTTTTACTGTACATATAAATAGGCTACTACAGTTGAAAAAAGTATTACATTATTACAATGAGATTAAAACTAATTTGAATAATAATTGGATTACCTGTTATCTTCAATCTATCTTTAGGTGCCTTCTTCAACAATGAATGGATGAGATGTTTAGCTTCAGGGGAGAGATTGGCCGGCATGTCAAAATCAGCTAGGATCACCTTGTTCAATGTTGTTTTCACTCCCTGTGTGTCAAATGGGGGTCTCCCTACCAGCATAGTGTAAAGCATACATCCCAGTGACCACACGTCTGATTCTAACCCATGTGCCCCTCTCATTGCAATCTCCCTGTAGATAGAGGATATACAATGTGTTATATACAATATACTACATGTATGTAATAAATATCCTGGGAGCACTCAAAATTGTACAGGAATGTCTAAAATTCAGGCAAATTGTTCAATTTTATAGTGAGACATGAAGAGTATTTAAATAGGCACAACAAATATGAAACCCGAGCCATTACATAGTTGACTGACTGAAGAAAAAATTTGGGAAATTTTTTTTTGTGAATACAAAATGCTGCCTTACGGAGATATGTAGTTAGGTGTGCCACACATCGTAAAGTGCTTCTCCTCAGGGACGCTGAGTTGGGTGGCCAAACCAAAGTCAGCTATTTTCTACAAAAAAATCAAAATGTAATTCAATGGTGCAAATATACAGCTGCAAATATGCTTTTCTGTAATAATAGTTTTAAGTTTCCCATATTGCATCAAAAATGATTTTTGCAGCAAAAATGCTGATTTTTGCAGTTGTTTATATTGCAGTGTTTAAAATCATGTAAAATATGTACAAACCCCCATTAGCACAAGAAAACAACAATATAGCGCTTTGAAAAAAGCAATGAAAAAGACATACCACATCCATATCTCGGGTTAGGAGCAAGTTAGCTAGAGTAAGATCTCGATGTAATATTCCGTAACCATGGAGATACAGCATCCCATCAACAATCTGCTTCATGTAATGGCGGCCTGAAGATATTCAAAAAAACATGGTCAGGTTACAGGCCTCTCTGCTAAAGGCAATTTTCAACAAGGCATCAACATGCAAAATGTCACCACCTGCCATTTGTTACAGACACTGACCGTCGACCACCAAACACCAATTGCTGAATACTTAACCAATGAACACTGTCCACAAGAGAGTTGGAGACTATAACAATATGTCACCACTTGTGGTGGTGGTGACATAAAAATGGCACCATTTGATCTAAAGTTTTGTTAAGAGTGCTCAAAGAAAATGGTAAAACCTAGGAAGCTTAAACTCAAACTGACACTCAAACACCAACTGCAACATACTAGGGTTGATCAAAAAGTTCTTATATCTTTATTTGTCAATATATTGTATCGAAATTTTTACAGAATGTGCAAGAAACCTACCTTCATCTTCTGTAAAAACTTTGCAGTTTGTCTTCAGGTATCTATACAGCTCTCCATTGTGACACATCTCTAACACCAAGTAAACATAGTGCTCATCCTCAAAGTAGTTATACAGCTATAATAAACAATGTTACATATAATGGTATTGTACAGTAAAAAATATTAGGAAAAAGATGCAAAATGTTAATATAGTCACAATTATAAGGTAATTGTACAATTGCAATAGTGTTATGTTATGTTATGTTGTGTTATGTTACAATACTGACAATGTTTAGAGATCCCTCAGGATATTTTCTAAACTGGGAGCTAAATTCTCATTATATTTTTTGCATTGATCAAAGTATCTCAATATTACACTTTTTAGCAGGGTGCAAAGAGAATTTCAACAGGGGGGGCATTTTATTTCGAGATTTACAACTGGGTGCTAATGCTGGGGAGGTTACTGGTGTTATTTTAGTTGTAAAATCTACAGCACAGCTATGAACTGCAAGTGATTATAATACATTGAATAGTTGAATTACCAAATGACAAGATAAAAATACATTTAATTGCAGGTACTACAGTGAAGAATATTTTCAAAGAAGCAACTATGTATTCTTCTGATTAAATATCTCAGCCTACCTCAAGAATTGAAGGATGCTTGAGGCGAGATTGAATCTCTACTTCCTTCTTGACGCGAGCCACCATCCCCGCTGCTGTCATCAGCTTCTTATCAATCTGGAGAACAAAATTGATTTTTAATGGTCAAATAAATTAAAATTAAAATAGAATTTTTGTTAAATTTATCTTTTGCATAATCAATATTTGTGATTTTCAAGATTTTCAAATATTTCACACAATCTATTAGATTTCATGATTTTTCATAATTTTTGTTCAGATTAATTATTGCTTTGTAGCATTTATAAAATCCCCATTCAAAAATCAAGTGACTTAAGATCTTATTTGTACTAATTTCAATTACTCAAGGACTCTGCGAAGAGTCAGTACTCACCATCTTGATTGCCACTTCCTGTCCCGTAGATTTGCATCTTGCTCTGTATACACAGGCAAACCCACCACGACCTAACAAGTTTAAAACTTGAAAGTCCTGAAAATAAAGGATCATATATAATTTCACTACTTTTTATTGTAATTACCTTTAATATCTCACATTGACTCAATGTCCTCAAACTAATGTTGCACATTGTCAGATTCGACACAGACTATATGATCCTGCTTATACTGTACTCCTGGTTAATTTCGCCAGTTTTAATTTCACAAATTTTGAGAAAACACTATTTCGCGGCTATTAAGTTTTGCGAATGTGACTGACTACACCTACTAATATGTCATCTTGGTCAATGACACGCTACACCTGACCTTAATCTCTATACATCGTGATCTTTTGGTTTTGACAAACATTTTTCAAAACACAAAATGCAATGGAGTCACAGATAATAATTAAATTCCCAAATCCCCGGGGATATAATTGACAATTTGGCGGAGATTAATTTTTGTGGTTTTACCATAATCGTAAAAAGCGCAAAACTAAATCACAAGCGAGAAATACAGGGAGTACAGTTAAGAGGAGACGCTATAGACGTATGACAGAGGTGATTCTTTGTACTACAACTGGTTAATAAGGCCAATTAATTGAAAAGTACCAAGACCGCTATGGTAGAAACTCCCAAGATTCTGATTTATAAGGGCATTAATAGTAGCTCGATGACCAAATTGCAACTTTCATGCTCATACAATGTCATACGAGCTTGGTGTCATCAAAATGTCCATGACAAAGTGTATTGATTCAATGAAAAAAATCAAAAGTAGGAAAAAGGAGGATCTAGAGTCCAAGAGAAAAGCAAATATACTGCTGCTATACGGTTTGTGGTAACATGAATAGATTTGGGGATTTCCCTTTCTCTTACTTTTTGCCAGGTAAGAAGCAGGTATTTTATCCTAGAATTGTGATTCTTAATGACCTATAACATGTCTGGGCCTTCATGTATATGTATTTATCCCATAGTTGGACGTGTTATAGGTACATAAAGCCGGTTTGTAAAAACTTATATTTTCATCAGCGGGCAGATATAGCTTTACGTCCCGCTCCGAGCGGGCAGATATAGTATATCTGCCCGCTACGTCATAATCGCCGCGCTCGCATATTTGTTCATAATTTGTAACGTTCACGTAATGACTGTTAACAACATTTTAAACCATCAAACGACTGTTTGGTGGTTTAAAAAAGGGAAGGAGCATCCACTTAATCAATCAAAAAAATCGAGAAAATAAATGTTGGAATATTTGAGAGAACAGGAAAATCCGCCAACGGCCATGAAAACAAAACTGGACATGAATATTCTAAAATATTTCCACGATTGAACAATGTGAACCAGATGACCAAGATTGGTATGGGATAAACATATTATCCTATAGTCGGTTCAGGATATTGGGATTATCCCTTGGCCAATATAATGTATTTTCCCTCGGGACCTGCGGCCCTCGGGGAAATATATTATATTTGCCTCGAGATAATCCCAATATCCTGAATCTCATATAGGATAATCTCTATTTATTTACCCAGTGATTGATTTAGTAACTCAATTTGGGTAGAAACATAGGAGACAGGTTACCTGAAAAGGAAGATAGATATCATTATCAAGGACTGAAACTGAGGCAAGTCTACCCTGGCTGAAATCAGCTCTGAAATAACAATTACTGCATGTCAAGCCGTCATTCAATGCTGATTTTGTAGAAAACAGATCTGTCCATCCTTCTACATGTGAGTTTTTCCCATAAAGATGCTTGATTAAGTAGAAATTCATCAAATTATACCCCTAGAATATCAAAGTTCAACTGTACATCAATCGCGTGAGGAAAAAAAACAAATCCATTTTTCACCTTCTGTTCACAAACCCTTCTTCTTCTTCTTGGAAAAGTTGTCCCTCATTTGACTAACAGCAAATGTGTATGTTTATGCAGCAATATATGTTAGTTTAGAAAATGATTAATTACAATCTTACCTGTACTTCACAGAAACATCCTAAGTATGAAAATATTTCACTAAAAATACATGCTTCCATTTTGTCACATGTTCATAATAATTTACATATTGACCATGTGATGTTGACAGGGAGTGTAAACGCATAGCGTACAGGAAATATGTTATGATATTTATTAAGAAATTAGGTATGGTAATCATTATTACTTATTGTATTAAGCCCCCAACCCACTTCACAAAGTTCATGAAGTACCAAGGAAAGACCAAATATTAAATAAATTAGAAAAATTTGAATTTCCAAAAAAATCAAGTGGGCGATAATAGAGCCTCTGAAACATGGCAAAAGTGACATATTTTGTAATTTTCAATGCACTCCCGATAATTATCTCTCATTGTGTGCTTTCCACACCATATCAAACTAATATTATCTAAAAATAATGTATGTAATAAGTTAATGAAGGAAAAATTTAATGTTTCAGAGACTCTATTATCGCCCACTTGATTTTTTGGGAAATTCAAATTTTTCTAATTTATTTAATATTTGGTCTTTCCTTGGTACTTCATGAACTTTGTGAAGTGGGTTGGGGGCTTAATACAATAAGTAATAATGATTACCATACCTAATTTCTTAATAAATATCATAACATATTTCCTGTACGCTAGGTGCGTTTACACTCCCTGTCAACATCACATGGTCAATATGTAAATTATTATGAACATGTGACAAAATGGAAGCATGTATTTTTAGTGAAATATTTTCATACTTAGGATGTTTCTGTGAAGTACAGGTAAGATTGTAATTAATCATTTTCTAAACTAACATATATTGCTGCATAAACATACACATTTGCTGTTAGTCAAATGAGGGACAACTTTTCCAAGAAGAAGAAGAAGGGTTTGTGAACAGAAGGTGAAAAATGGATTTGTTTTTTTTCCTCACGCGATTGATGTACAGTTGAACTTTGATATTCTAGGGGTATAATTTGATGAATTTCTACTTAATCAAGCATCTTTATGGGAAAAACTCACATGTAGAAGGATGGACAGATCTGTTTTCTACAAAATCAGCATTGAATGACGGCTTGACATGCAGTAATTGTTATTTCAGAGCTGATTTCAGCCAGGGTAGACTTGCCTCAGTTTCAGTCCTTGATAATGATATCTATCTTCCTTTTCAGGTAACCTGTCTCCTATGGGTAGAAATAGGTCCAAATAACATAATACATTGCTAAGCAGCTTTAATTTTTGAAAAAAAATCGAGACTAACGAGTAATTTCGTGTCAATATTCAACAGGAATTTACATAGTGTGTGCATAAATAACTAGTTGAGAATCTTACTTCTATAGATTCACCCATTCTTTTTCTTCAGACGCCCAAAAAGCGTGTAAAATCAACAAACTTTGTGAGAATTTTGGTTTCCAGATTTTCCGACATTTTGAATTGGACGCCAAAATTATCTGAAAACTCGAAAATAAACGAAATCGTCCCTTTTCATCATTTTGAGAAGACTATAAGAACTAATTTTCAAGAGTAGCTCAAACAGTATTTTTATGTATTTCTTGAAATATATTCAGGTCTTTTATATCCCGAATTGTTGTTGTTTTATATTTTGAGTAATGAATTCGATTCACAACTAAAATTGACATCGACCGGCATACCATTTTGCAAACTTTCTTTTCATTGGTCAATTACTTTGAGGCGGTCCCGCTGCATTCCTTTAGTTTTTAAGACAAAATGGGGAAGTTTATCATATAAGAGTTCTCAAACATTGTAATAAGTACTTTTTAAATCCTCTATTAGTTGAGAGTTGTTACAACATTTGTAGTTCTATTCTGATAATTTAAATTCACCTGAAATTTCTAGAACCATTCAGATTCTCATTGACCAATCAGAGAACGGCTCTCAACCGGCATTAATTTCCTTTAATTTTTCATGCTTTCTAGAAACTTCAAGAATTCAATGGAAATACTGGAAATATTAACTAATTACGAGACAATCAGACTAATTTAACACAAACTGCTAGTACCAAGAACATTATACGCAAACACGATATAGTTTGAAGAGTCAAATTCTTAAACAAACTCACTACTTTCCGAGGAACAAAATTTGAAAAATCTGATCTGTAAGGAAACGTGAAGAAAGGACTCGAAAGATTGTTGTAGAATTATTTCTAGAATTATTTATAACTCTATCACAATTAAACAATGGCTGTTGTTGGATTTGATTTTGGATACCAGTCATGTTTCATCGCAGTGGCGAGACAGGGCGGAATCGAGACAATTGCCAATGAATACAGTGATCGCACCACTCCGTAAGTATAATCAGTAGACTATTATAAGAAATAGATTTAGAGTAATAAAGGCCCAAGTGATCTTATTTCAAGGAATTTCCAGTCGCTCAATCTATTACCTCTTTCAAAGGCTGACTTATCTGTTTACACGCCCCCTATCACACGTTGCAGAATCTTGACAGCTGAAAGTGGAATCAGCTGCTTACTTTAGAGTCATTCTTCAGTAATACCTTGGGGGTTTATCATGGACTTGAAAAAATGGATTGGAATCTTCCAACGACCCAGTGGTCTCACCCTAATTTATTCACCAGGGGAGGAACAGTTATAAATTCTCTGGAGAAAAATCTCAGTGATCAATTGTCTTGTTATGTCATTATGAATATGATTTTAAGAAAATATTTTTAGTATATGGTAACGGTTTGTATATCATGGGAATATCTGCATTTCAAAAGTCACTATACCTGGGACAAAGAAAATACAATGTTAGAATTCTATCCCCTGGGACAATACTGTATATCAAATTCAGACCCACATGGGGTCTCAAATGAACCATTGATGGTGAACAATACAAGAAATATTACCTATATCATTTATTAAACAGAATTATCATTATGAAAGTTACTTCAATTTTTTGTCATGCAGATTTACCTTAATAGCCACATGAATGAAGTAAAATACAATTCTTTGAGAATGTTCTGAAATTGATAAATTAATTATTAAATCCCCTACAAGCTCTTATGTCAAACTGTGATTGTGCATTGTGATAGTGTTAAACAACTGATCCAGATGTGCCAATTTCCTTATTGACCATGCTGTTAGTCTGACTGTATCATGATATGGCAGAATGTTATTAAATCAATACAGTTATGTAATTTGGTTTGTCCAGCTAAAGGTGTATTGATATTGTGATCTAAATCTTATTGATTTTGTGATATAGTAATCTAATCAGTCTACATGCATCCTAGGTCAGTTGCCATCACCCCCCCCCCCATCCCCCATTTGCAATCATACATAAAAATTGTATAAAATTTCTTATGTGATCGTTGAAGAGCCTAAAAATATGATGAGTTGGAGAAGCCATATTTTGATAATCAGTTTTATATATTGTTTTAACTAGAGAGTAAAACGTGCATTGGTAGCCACTGGTTGGGTGTTTCATTTTTGGACATTTTTCTGATCAAGCTCTTCTTTGCAGTAGGCAATACTAAGAATATAACTTTGTCAAAACTATGGGCATTATAAGCAGCACTAATATACAATAATACAATAGACAACATGCACATTGTATTGATATACTAATATAATGCATATAATAGGCAGTAGTGCATCAATTGGTACCATGACTATGCATACAGCATGTATAATAGGCAATACTAAGAACATGTAATAGGCAATTCTTTGAACACAATGGGGAAACAGATGTACACAACTTTCAGTTTCAGTTATAATGTTTGTTAAGAGCCTTATATCTCATGATTTATGAATAAAAAATGAAACTACTTTGGCCTCAGGAACTGTCGTGAAATAGTGCCAATATTCTGTCGTGAAATATTCAAATAGAAACATGTGTGTTTTTAAGTTTTAGCTGGAGGTAATGCATCATCAGCTGGTTATAATATAAAGTCAAAATTCTTATTCAAATGTTTTTAATCTACAGTAAAACCAAACTCTACTGGGACCAACCAAAAGTATTAAGATTATGTATGTCTGAATATTAAAAGAAGGACCGGGATGTGTTTAGAATTATATCCACTTTCATAAAAGTATTTTATAATATAATGTGTAATCATCACTGATATCTTAAGGGAAGATATGGTGTTAAACCATAAATGTAATAATTGTAACTCCATGCTTAGTGCATAAGAAATATACAAAAAATATTGTTTTAATTAGGCTAGCGAGGAATCATTACGATACAATTTTTCTGGGCTTTGTCCACACATTTTATCATAGCTTCAAGAAGTTGTCCACACTCATTACAGGGGTTGAACATGCTCAAGACATTTCAAAGACAGAATTAATGAGATTAAAATCTTATACCCAGACAGCGCTTGCATTAGGTTAGAAAATTTGTGAGTCCCAAGGACGCAATTTTTTTTAAAAAAGTGTGTCCTTTGAAAAAAAGTGTGTCCCCTATTTCTAGCCTGTTTTGAGATATAACTTTATTTTAAAAGCATTTTTTACCAAAACACCTTTCAGTTTTTGATTTCTTGCCGCGAATTTAAAACGGAAGTAAACGTTAAGTGCGGACTGAATAAATGCATGTTTGTTCATTCGACAATGAAAACATTTTATTTCATGAATAACCTAATATTTGTTTCTGAATAGGAAAAACTGTGGCGTGTCATGGTTTCAAATCTAAAAATAAACAAAGTCGGAAAAATTCGAGAGAAACATGATTATTTGTAAATATTCAATATGTTGAGCCTTATTTACGATTCAAATAAAGGTGAGAGATCATAATTATTTGTTTTTGTTAGGTATCGTTGTAAACACATTGTAGTATTGACCTAAAAAAAGTTTGCGTCCAAAAAAAGGAAATATTTTCAATTTTTGCGTTCTCCAAATTATTTTTGAGTCCTTAACATGTACGGGACGCCGTTAATGCAAGCCCTGCCAGATAATAAATGAATCTTGGGTACAAAAAGATGAATACCCATTACTATATTAATTAAATTAATTATTTCAGAGCATATGTATCATTTATGGAGAAGAACCGTGCCATGGGCGTTTCTGCCAAGAACCAGCAGATGGCCAACATGAAAAACACCATATTTGGATGGAAGAAAATGATTGGTCGGAATTATACAGACCCCATAACACAACAGGAAAAGGGTCTTTTGCCATTTGAGATAGTACAAACAGAGAATGATGGGATCGGCATTAAGGTAATAAACCTCAAAGTAAATGGAAATTTTATAAAATATTTGGTTCTATTGGGTTCCAGGATAGAGTTTGTATGGAATTCTTGTCTTATATTTGTAAAATTGTCATGGAATTCGAGGTGCACTAATGGCAATTTTTATGTGAACAACAACAACAATTCTAATTAATATGAAGCCGAGGCAACTGTATGATAAAGTTCTGTTGTTCAAAACTGTTCAAATGTTTTGTTAGGTGCAATATCTTGGTGAGACACAAGTGTTTAATCCTGAACAAATCACCGCAATGTTGTTCACAAAACTGAAAGAAACGGCAGAATTGAATCTGAAAGTGAAATGCAAAGATGTTGTGATCTCCGTGCCAACCTACTTTACTGATACTCAACGTAGAGCCCTTCTCGACGCAGCCCAACTCGCAGGTCTTAATTGCTTGAGACTGATGAATGATACAACGGCAGCTGCACTAGCCTATGGTATTTACAAACAGGATTTGCCAGATGAAAAAGAGAAATCACGAAATGTTATCTTTGTTGACATGGGACATTCTGACACGCAGGTTTCAGCTGTGGCGTTTAATAAAGGGAAATTAAAGGTATGGACAAATACATAAAAATGAATAAATTTTCATCACTCTTTTAAGTCTTTTTCAAAGTGCTATATTGTCGTTGTCTTGTACTAAAATGTGTGTGTGTTTCTGGGTGGATGAGATGTACCATATAAATCTTGTTATAAAAATTTCAGGAAATCTGTTCAATTTGAAGTATTCATTTTTATTTCATAAAGCAAGAGCAGACTAGTGACAAGACTTTTAAGGCATTTGGATTTTTTTGATGAAAAAGTGTGATATTTATCACGGTGTGTCTTGTTTTTCAGATGTTAGCTACAGCGTCAGACCCAAGTCTTGGAGGACGTGATTTGGATAGAATCCTAGCGCTGTACTTCGCAGAGGACTTCAAAAAACGTTATAAGATTGATGCCACTCAGAAACCTAGAGCATTTGCCAGACTTCTTAATGAATGTGAGAAACTGAAAAAATTGATGAGCGCAAACTCGACCTCCATTCCAATCAACATTGAGTGTTTTATGGAAGATAAGGACGTCAGTGGACGGATGGAAAGGTCAGTTATCTGTTGTTGACTTTGAAAAATTGAAATCGCTTATGCCTGGGTCACATTTGCTCCGATCCATCGGCCGGCGCCCGGCCGATTGAGTGTTTTGTTTCAATATTGTATTCAGTTTTGAACAAAATACTCAATCGGCCGGGCGTCGTAGTAAAAATCAGAGCAAATGTGACAACGGCATTAATCAATGTATCAATGGCTTGGATATTCAATATTCAAATCCCCATGCCTGGTAACTAGTAAGGATCAACAAACTTTTGTTTCAGATATTGATTTTCGACTTTAGCAATATATGATTTAATACTTTTCTTTAATCACACTTCATATGTTAACTCTTTTTTTTAGTGTAATACTGTTATTACCTGATTAGCTTAGCTGCATCTTTAATAGACAAAGTGAATGTCACCATGTTATTCATTCATTGAAATAGTCAGCTAGTCTAACGTTAAAGGCAGAATCAGATCTATGGTGGTGACAAAATTACAAGCAACATGTACAATTGACCTACCAATCTGTTCCTTACAATCTCAAATACAATGATATAGTATAAATTGGTGAAGTTATGATGGAATCAACGTGCAAAAATGGGTGAAAAATGCTTAAATTCTTTCAAATAATATTTTCCTGAAATAAAGTGTGCACTTTGGGGATTTTTGCAAAATAGACATGAAAAGGAATGACATTAGCCAGAAATATTCTAAAATTGAAACAATTTTTTGTTAGGCTGCTCGCTAGATCTGATTCTCTCTTTAAACTTACTGCTTAATTGTATTGCAGGTCCACACTTGAGGAGCTGGCTGCTGGACAATTTGCCAGATTTGAAGATGTCTTGCGGGCAGTTTTAGACAATGCTAGTAAGTAGTTATTACCCTTAAGCAGAGATAAATATAAATAAAATATTCTCACTGGTCTATAAGAGTATAACCTGAACATGTTATGGTGTCAATATTGATTAGGTGAACGCTGCACATGTTCCAGTTTCAGTAGGTCAGTATGCACCAAGAGAAAATTACCCAATGTTTTTTATTTATAAATTAGGAATTCTGCAGTGCTGAAATTTTCTATAATTCTGCCTGTTGGTTTTCATCGTTTTTTTTCCAGTTGTCAGTAATTTTGTAGAAATCTCTGACAGATAATGTGACATGCTTGTTAAAGAAAGACAAAATCCAGAATGTTAAAGTAACCAATTGTATAAATAGACTGATATAGTAAACTTGCAATGCACGTACATTATACCTCCATTATCTAAATATTTGCTATTTTTCAAGATTTAAAGATTATATGTTCAGTAAAACCTGTCTTAGTGAACACCTCTCTCTAATGAACACCTGTCTCTAGTAGACGCCCTTCTTCATACTCAACTGACTTCAGTATAAATTCCCTCTCTGTGGTGAACACATAACAACACTGAACATTTTTTTCTCAGCAAAAATGTTCAATATACACAGGTTTTATTGTAATTCTGAATATACTTGGTTAAATGAGAACAAATAATTGATGATTTTTTAACATGACCTTGTAGACCTCAAGCCGGCAGATATAGATGCTGTAGAAGTAATAGGTGGCAGCACTAGGGTCCCCGCTGTCAAGGAAACAGTACAGAAAGTGTTTGAAAAGGAGTATAGCACAACATTGAACGCAGACGAGGCTGTGGCTAGAGGATGTGCTTTACAGGTATACAACCATCTTGTCTTTTGTTTATACATATATTATACTGAAAATAATCATGAAAAAATAAGGATAAAATACTTGATTGAAAGATAGGTTTAATCATGATCTCTACATGTTATTACTCAATTTTATTTCCTTGTTCCGTGATTTCTTAAAGTATAATACACTAAAAAAATGTCATGAATCCATTTCTGAATTTATTTTTAGTGTGCCATATTGTCACCCACGTTCCGAGTGAGAGACTTCTCCATAACGGACTGCCAGCCCTACGCAATCACTCTCACCTGGCAGGGTGCCATAGAGGAATCCAGCGACCTTGAGGTCTTCCCAAGATACCATGCTATTCCATTCTCCAAAATGTTGACGTTTTTCCGTAAAGAACCTTTCAATGTTGAGGCTCGTTATAGCCATCCCAGTGACATTCCTTACCCTAGTCCAGTCTTAGGTAAGTGTTGAGACCTTTCAATGTTGAGGCTCGTTATAGCCATCCCAGTGACATTCCTTACCCTAGTCCAGTCTTAGGTAAGTGTTGAGACCTTTCAATGTTGAGGCTCGTTATAGCCATCCCAGTGACATTCCTTACCCTAGTCCAGTCTTAGGTAAGTGTCTGAACCTTTCTGGATGTGTTCTTTCTAATGAAAATTCTTCTGTGATACCAATGTTTTTGAATAGCTAAATTTACATGGAAAGTTTGAAAATCTTGTTCAATCATCAAATACATGTACTATTTTTTTTACTTTTTGAGACATTTTGAAATTACAAACAATTGGTTTCAATGAGATCTAAACCTTTTTTTATTTCATGCTATATCTGTGTTTAATATTTCAGGGCAATTTGCCATAAAGGACATCAAGCCACAGGCTGATGGAGAGAGCAGTAAGGTCAAAGTAAAGGTAGGTTTTTCACAAAAATTCAAATCCAGCATATAGGTTTTATTGACCTAAAAATAAAGTCTTCCCTAAATATTTAACGATGAGTATTATATACCATCGATTGGGCTATATGTCCGCTTTATTTTGGTGAGTGAAAAATATGACATTGCCAAACATGATCAGCTCTAGTGTCCGCCAAATTAAATAGCCGCCAAAAATGGCAAAATCACCCAATTTAGTGGCAACAAATTAATAATCCAAAGTAACACTTAAATTAGAGATTAATGTTAGGAAAATAACAAGTTGAATTAAACATAAAGATTGTTAGATAGTACTACGAAAAACATACAAGCTCATTGGAGAGTAAAATTACAAAAGGTATTAGCAAACCCCAGATAGCCTACATGGATGTAATTTGAAACACTCAAAAGGGTGGTGTACCTGCCTATTTTGAAAACACTTTCAGTAAATATCTGTTTCACCAGATGTAAAAACACCCAACCTATTATCGTATGTGAATTGTAATTGTATTGACATGTCTTCATGTTTGTGTTTGTAGGTGCGTGTGAACATCCATGGAGTATTCACAGTAGCACAAGCCTCATTGGTGGAGAAACTTCCTCAAAAGGAGGAAGAAGAAATGGAGATTGACCAGAAACTGGAAACAGAGAATAATGGCAAACAAACAGAACAGGTCAGTTTATTTGTTTGTTTGTTTGTTTGTTTGTTTGCATACTTTTGTCCTGTACAAATTAATTGCAATGTTTGATAATGGTTGACATACGGGAGAGTGTTTGTACCTTTTCAAGTAAGTTCTTGATAACGGTTTGACTCAGCTCTAACCAGTCTTAATTATTTCTTATGCCCATGCTTTTTTTATGGCCTGGTATACTTTCCGCTACTTCTGTACATGTATAGATTCAATTTTGCACTCAAAGGCCAATTCCGTCCGCACTCCGTGACAAAGGAATTCTAGGGGGAGTGATAGTTGGAAATGCTTAACTTTGCTTATATGAAAGATTTTATTTCATCAATTGAATGGAACACTGAACATTTAGTCATTGCAAGATTTAAGGACAAGTACAACCTCCAAGTCAAAAAATAGATATTTGTTCAGTGAACTGTACATTTAAGCATTAATGAGCTTCACATCATTATCAAAGTTATCGAAATCCTTGATTTTAAATTTTATTTATTGTTCATATAGTGTTAGTTGTTCATATAATCCTGATCTATTATAATGAGCTTCAAATAATTCTTTTTACTAATTTATCCTATATTAAAATCATACCTAAAATCACAGTCTTTTATTTAAAATTTAAGAGATTTGATTTGCAGCATTGTTACATCATCACCCTCAAAGTCAGGTTCATTATGATTTGAAGCAAGTCTTGCAAATGAAGGTCGTCGCCCATGACCCAATGGTCCCAGTTTGGGAAGTGTTAGCCCATTACTTATAGGGACATTGGTAGCTGATGCATCTGGATTTGACCTCATAATTTTAGACAATGTTACTGCCTTCCACTTATTGATCATTATTTGTTTGTAACTTGTGTCATCATCATCATTATCTTCATAAACCAGGTTGCCCGTCTCCGTTATTATAGCTTTTGGCATTTGTTTCGCAGATCCTTGTTTTGGAGCTGTCTCTGTAGTCACAGCCTTTGGTTTTTGTTCTACTAATCCCCGTTTGATAGCAATTGCTTTCCATTTTCCCCGCATGCTTAGTTTAGGTAGGTGATTTTCGTTGATTTTTCGTGCATTTTCAGTCACAGGATCATTTGTTGTGTTACCAGTTTCACTAATGGTATTCAGAGAATGTATAGATCTATTGCTATGTTGAGCTTTGCTAGGTGCAACTGTATGCGCAAAGTGGATGTCTTTGTTTATTTCACTTTGAATAACCTCATCATTGGAATTCTGTTGAGTATCACTTTCAACAGTAGGTGTGTTGTTATAGTTTTCATTATCAGATTTGTGTGGTAAATCATTTGTATCTTTGTCTTCATTCCCCTCTGATATCTTTTCTCTTTTAGGAAGGTAAATGTTTTTCAAATCACCTTTTTCAGTTGTCAAATGTTTGTCAGTGAAGCCCTCTGGTATATTTGTTGATTCATTTGAATGGTTTTTTATATTAAGAGGGTTTGAACCTGAAATATCTAATATATTTGTGTCATGTCTCAATAACTGTGCACTCTCTGTATCACCTGGCTCAACATTTTCAGCATCTATTGCATCCAAATCGGCACTTGCTCCAACTGTTTTTACTGGTCCATAATCAATGTTGTCATTGACATTTTCCCTATCACCAAACTTAGTATCTTCATCAAATACATGTTTATCTTGGTGATTGTTCTGATAGTTTTCCATATGTATATGGAGTCTAGAAGTATCTGATTGGTCAGTTGTCTTCTCTGTCAGGTTCCAATTGTTTGTTTTGGACTTGGGAGCCATATTTGGACGTACAAATGTTGTTGTACTAACATCGTCTTTTTCTTTGTTGTTTGTTCTGTGTGTGAGTTCATTGTCCTCAGTATATGTCTTGACAATATGTTTAGATGACTTTGGTCTACTTGTTAGACTGTCTTGGTTTGGGATTATGGGATCCGATCTAGTAATTTTCTGTTTTCCTGATTTCGATCGTCCTGTAACAGGAGCACTCTGAAGTTCAGAAGTCCTCTTGTTCTTTGCTTTGTGATAAAAGCCCGTTTGTCGTTTGTCTTGTATTTTACTAAGAGCTAATCTTGCCTCACAGACAACAGCAGAGAGAGGTTTATCATATACTGGGGCTGTCACCTTGGTTTGTTTATGTTTCCTTGGTTGTGCTTGTAGTATATCACCATAGTTATCGGGCATATCTTGCCAGTAAACGTCATCGAATGGCTTACAGTCATTGTAGTAATTGAGCGTTTCTTTTTCATAGTCTTTTAATTGTTTATGAATGATGCTAGAATAGTGATCAGTTTTAGAGATTCGGTTTTTGTAGGTTTTTTCTAGTTTTGTCCAGCCTACTTCCAGTTTCCTTTGCTCAGATCCATTAAGTCTGTTCGCTTTACTAATCTGATGACCTCTACGTCTCAGAGAGGCCGTAGCTTTGGCAGACATCTATCTCATTTGGACCTGTAACATTAAGTAATGTTGTTATTATTAGTTAGCGTAATGCATCAATTCAACATATCTTTACCTGAATGGTTTATATATAAAATTCTAATATGATAATTGACGTCACAGTAGCTAGAACAATTATTTACTGGTCTATATTAGAGTATGTATGAGTGCTAAAAATCATAAATGCAAATACATGTAGTTGTGTTTCTTGTATGTCTGTCGTAATAAAGACCACAATTTATGATTTATGTCAAATATACGACCTCAAATTTTATTCTGGCCATTGCCAAAGACCTTAATTGCTACGCGATTTCAGTTTTTTAACAATGAACTGAATAAAATTTCATATATTACGCCATAAATCATAAAATCTCAGTCTTTATTCCTTAATCAATAAACAGCATTGAAAGAGACCATGGAATGCATATATTAATCATTTGAAATTATTTATGACATCATATATATTTAAAACATTTTAAAACAAGCATCATTGTGCGATAAAGTATTATTTATATATTGTTCCCATTATTCATGAAGTAAAAGGAGATATACCATTGACGGTGAACCTAGTTGTGTCATGCACTTACTATTATGAATGCGAAACTTAAATTAATGGCATAAAATATTTTTATTTCCAATGTGGATCAACGGAAACGAAGAAATTACATAATATTTTCTTTTTAAAAACATATCACTTACATTTGCGTTAGTTAATATATTTGCTTCAATTTTTGGTTGATCTTCTGCGGGTCGTTTCTATGTTCAGTTGTTATCACATTGCTTTTTATTATTAACTCTTGCTTTTCAAACTTTCAACTCTTTATTCTTTAATCACCCATATAAAATGCTATTCAATGTCTGTCCACATCTTTCAATCTTTTTGGCACTTAGTTATTTGAAGACTAGAAATTACATATTGACATAACCAGAACTAACAAAAAGTTGAAAAGGAATTTTGTAAACGTCTTAAAAGATTTAGTTGGGTGTATAAAAAGAAATTGTTATCATTTGTTATTTCAAAGTAAACATCGTCATTATAGTGTCAATGTAAGAGGAAATACAATTGGGAAGTCGATGGAGACTTGAATTGCATTGTTTGCTCTTCAACCTATTTTGTTAGAATAATCAATATTTTTAGTTTTTTGTTGTTTTTTCAGGCCTGTAACCAGAATTTACCAAGGGGGGTTCACTTTTCCAAAAAATTCTAAGGGGGGTTCACGTTGGCAAATTTGGCCAAAAATAACTCAAAAAATAGTCAGAATGGTGAAAAACTGCATGATTTTGAAAGAAATTTTGGCCAGGGGGCTACGGGCCTGTTTTTATAGATCATTTTTATATTTCTATTAATCAAACCACCCCTAAAGCAACCCTGAGTTATCCATGATACAAATGATGCCATGGTTATAATGTTTTAAATATGTAAACCCTCAGATTGAACTCCAAACTCAAGATTATTATTGCAGTGATCTCCCCAGCATTAAAGCAAATGAGCACAGCACCCACCTGGGATTTTAAAAACAGGTTTGCACCCACCTGAAAATTCATTTGCGCCCACTTGAAAATAAGAAGAAAACACATGAAAATAGGCATATTTTGTCTCAGAATTGTGAAAATAAGAATTTTGCACCCACTTAAGAAAAAATCCTGTAGAGAATACTGTATTGCATGACCAGCCACTGTGAAAGTGAATTGTGTTAAATCTCTCATCTGGCTTCCCGCTTTCCTGTCTCAAATTTAACAATGTATTGCTCATTTTGAAGCTTTTTGAAATTTTTCAAGTATCTGAAAATTAGCCAGAAGGGAAATAAATTGAGAAAACATTTGATAAAAGGCAGCGGGCCTTTATTTTTACTCCATGAAACTTGATGAACATGCTGACGTGAACTGTAGTTTCATGTTGATTGTGGTCATAGGAGCCCAAAGTGACCTATAAACTAAAAAATACAATTTTACTTTAATAACAATTAAATAGAAACAAATATAAGAAACTCCTTTAGCCTGGCATAGAGGCTAACAGTCAGACTATATTGTTGTGTGACACCCTAATAGACAGGTCAATATTCTTTATAGCTTTCTAAAACAATTGTGACAAAAATATAACTTGTAATGTCTGTCTTCTAGAATGACACAGCAGCTACAGATGGGGGAGAACTTAATGATGTGAAACCTGCTGGGGAGGAACCCATGCAGACTGAGGCTGCACAGACTAAGAATGAGACTCCTAAAGAGAATGATGCAGATGCAGCTACTAAGAAAAATGAAAATGCTGAGGAAAAACAGGTAAAATTTATTAATTGGGCTTTAGAAGTACATGTAATGTCTCTCTCTGGCTGTAAGATAATACGTGTCTTCTGTTGACGTAAGTAACAGTGTGAAATACAGGAATATGTTCGAATGTTATGTTATATTTATTATTTTCATATTATAATTACAAGTAAAATCAAGACACTATTCTGACGAGACCAGACACTATTCTGACGTTAGACGAAGTATAGTTCAGTTTCCTAGCTACTATTTTTGCGAAAAAATGAAAAACATGTTTTTGACAATGATGTGTTGTAGGAGAATAAAGAAGAAGATAAGGACAAGAAAGGGGAAGAGAAGAAAAAGAAGAAGAGCATAAAGATGATAGATCTCCCAGTGGAAGCCAGGGTTCCTGGGCTCAGCAGAGACCAGATCAACAGTTTCTTTGAGACAGAGGTAAGTAGCTTATCCCCTTTATATTACTACAATCTTTGAGCATAAAGATGATTGATCTGCCAGTGGAAGCCAGGGTTCCTGGGCTCAGCAGAGACCAGATCAACAGTTTCTTTGAGACAGAGGTAAGCAGCGTATCCCCTTTATATTACTACAACCTTTTTTATTCAAATTATTTATTCAAAAAATAAACGCAAAGTACAAAAATCACAACCAATATTTGAATCAATAAAACTTTACAAAACACAATATACATTATATCCTGGATTAGAATTTATACAATAGTGAAATAAGATTTTTACTACAATCTTTGATTTGAGAGAAATGCAAGCAAAAAGGACACTAGAATTGTGAAGAAGAATAGTACCAACAATTGCTCTAGAAAATAAACTTTGAAATGTATTAAAAAGAAAATACATGTAAGTCTAGTCACAAAAATCAAAATATGACAAGAGGAGTTTATGATATCAACATTAATAAACATCAATAATGTCGGCTCTATGTTTAATATTAACATCAATAATGTCTGCTCTATGTTTAGTATAAACATCAATAATGTCTGCTCTATGTTTAGTATAAACATCAATAATGTCTGCTCTATGTTTAGTATAAACATCAATAATGTCTGCTCTATGTTTAGTATAAACATCAATAATGTCTGCTCTATGTTTAGTATAAACATCAATAATGTCTGCTCTATGTTTAGTATAAACATCAATAATGTCTGCTCTATGTTTAGTATTAACATCAATAATGTCTGCTCTATGTTTAATATTAACATCAATAATGTCTGCTCTATGTTTAGTATAAACATCAATAATGTCTGCTCTATGTTTAGTATAAACATCAATAATGTCTGCTCTATGTTTAGTATAAACATTAATAATGTCTGCTCTATGTTTAGTATAAACATTAATAATGTCTGCTCTATGTTTAGTATAAACATCAATAATGTCTGCTCTATGTTTAGTATAAACATCAATAATGTCTGCTCTATGTTTAGTATAAACATCAATAATGTCTGCTCTATGTTTAGTATAAACATCAATAATGTCTGCTCTATGTTTAGTATAAACATCAATAATGTCTGCTCTATGTTTAGTATAAACATCAATAATGTCTGCTCTATGTTTAGTATAAACATCAATAATGTCTGCTCTATGTTTAGTATAAACATCAATAATGTCTGCTCTATGTTTAGTATAAACATCAATAATGTCTGCTCTATGTTTAGTATAAACATCAATAATGTCTGCTCTATGTTTAGTATAAACATCAATAATGTCTGCTCTATGTTTAGTATTAACATCAATAATGTCTGCTCTATGTTTAATATTAACATCAATAATGTCTGCTCTATGTTTAGTATAAACATCAATAATGTCTGCTCTATGTTTAGTATAAACATCAATAATGTCTGCTCTATGTTTAGTATAAACATTAATAATGTCTGCTCTATGTTTAGTATAAACATTAATAATGTCTGCTCTATGTTTAGTATAAACATCAATAATGTCTGCTCTATGTTTAGTATAAACATCAATAATGTCTGCTCTATGTTTAGTATAAACATCAATAATGTCTGCTCTATGTTTAGTATAAACATCAATAATGTCTGCTCTATGTTTAGTATAAACATCAATAATGTCTGTTCAATGTTTTGTAGAATAACTTCATAGCACAGGACAAACTGGAGAAGGAGAGGATTGATTCAAAGAATGCAGTGGAGGAATATGTATATGAGATGAGAGATAAACTATATGGACCTCTAGAACAATATATTAGTGAAGCTGTAAGTACTTCGAGTACACTCTTAAGTATATTTCAACGAATATTGAGGTGAATACCTGTACATCTTTCACAAGTGATATTCCACGAAGCCCGAAGGTATTCACCGAAAATAGAGTGAAATATTTGTTTTATTATATCAGTCTAGCTAAACATCCCTAATATTATTAAGTCATAGGTTAACATTGAAATATATATATTTTTACGAATCTACTCGGTTCGTCTGCCATTTTGACTTACACTGAACTAAATTATTTACACTGAACAAAAACAAATTCTTTGAAAATTCCCGGGAGCGTGGAATATCGCTAGATATCTCACGGTTGTCTTATCTGATTAGCATTGCCATTGAATATCGCCAGATATCCCACGACATGTGACCCGGTTTTGACCAATCATACTGTCGCTAGCTAGATAGTGATATAATTATTTAAATTATTTATGTAGATTTATCACTGTGTAAGAACCTTGCAAAATCAAAATGACTACATGCAGTAATTGTTGTTATTGTATACATTTTTATATAAAACTAGGTAAAATTAGGTAAGGTTATGTCACGACTCACGAGCCTTAAATATATGTCAGTCAGCTGATGCCAACCAATCCATATGTTGATATGATCCTTATGGATCGGATCCTTAGGGATCCAGACATCATAATTGAATTGGCCAAACTATAGTCCATGATAACGACTAAAATGATGAAAGGATAACATTAAATACTTACAATTTAAATTGTAGATCTTACGTTTTAATGTTTATTTCTCTTTTAGGATAAAGAAAAATTCACAGCAATGTTATCGCAGACTGAAGATTGGTTGTACGATGAAGGTGAAGATTGCAACAAACAGGTGTACCTTGACAAATTAACAGAACTCAAGAAAATTGGCGACCCAGTGGTGCGACGGAATTATGAGGCTCAGTGTCGTCCAGCAGCTTTTGATGAACTTGGTCGCTCACTTCAGATTATTAGGAAAGCTCTCGACTTATATGCAAATAAGGTATGATTTTTTGGCCTGGTACAATTGAAACTAGGTATTTTCAATCGTAATATTTTCTTTATCATGTAATTGGAAGGAGGGCATTAAATAAATTATTCTTTATTGATTTCACATATATTCACACCGGAATAGCCTGACAACAGTAAAGTCAGATAAATTTTCAGGCTATTCCGGTGTGATATTACTTTTACTAACACTGACAATATATATAAGTGTGAAGTTCTGAACATTCCTTATTCTGGAGACAAGTTTCAAAATCCAGTCTGTTCAGCGTCAGCCCTAGTTCAAAGAGGGGTTGTACTATGACAACTATGATGAAATTTGATTATTATTAGTCATTATGTCACCACCACAAGTGGTATTCTCCAAAATAACGTAGATATTCTCCAACGTTTTGTGTATGGTGTTCGGCTTTCAATATTCAGCGGTCATTGTCAGTAGCAAATGGTAGATGGTGACAGTTCCCATGTTAATGCCTGGTATGTAACTTGTCATAATCAACCATTGTTGTATTATGTATTTTATTCATCATTTCAGGATGAGAAGTATGACCATATAGACCAGAAGGACATGGACAAGGTCTCTAAAGCTCTTCAGGAAAAGAGTGCATGGTTTGAGAAACAGATGAACCTCCAATCCAAGAAAGCTCTCACTGAAGATCCTTTAGTACTAACTCAACAAATTAGGAATGAACGCCAGGTGTGTGTACGCTGTGTACATGTGGTATCTTACCTTCTTATGTCTACTATTAACATCATGCCACCTCCATTAAGTGGTAACATTATTCTAACCATTGGTTTATTTGACTGACTGGCATTATGCTTTCAATGTCAGCATCTTTAACACTGTTTATCATACCACAGGTATTGTATAGTCGTCATGATGGCTGCTTCAACATGGCAGTAATCATAGTGTTGTCCCCTATCTAGGAAAACCATTTGTCAAATTTTCTTGCATGCTACAGATTACCAGGTTCTATGGCTGATTAACTATGGCGGCCATCTTGCTTTCTGGGTCATCAAGCCCACACTGCTGTTTTAGGTACAATGTTGTACACCCTGTACCTTGTTTATTTTTTTAATTAAGGCACAGTAAATAATTAAATGTTTTATTTTCAGGCACTTGAGACAATATGTAACCCAATACTTAGCAAACCCAAGCCAAAGGTGGAGCCGCCAAAGGAGGAGAAAAAGAAGGAAGGGGAAGGGAAGGGGGATGCAGAAAAGATGGAACAGTCAAATGGGGAGGGCAAGACAGAAACTGAAAAAAAAGATGAAGCTGATATGGATTTAGATTGATGAGAATTAGACAATTCATATAATAATAGTATATAAATGGATATTTATTTCAAGTGTTATATTTCTAAATGAGTATAACAAGATTCGAAGTTGTATGTATTACGTCATGTAATAACAAAATATGGGTAAATTACGAAGAGAACAAATGGTTTAGGAGACCAACTTGACGATTAGAAAATTGTAATTATTAAGTAACTAGCTACTACAGACACAGCATCTGTTGTCAGAAAATGTCTTGAATATGATTAAAAAATACATTTACAGATTTGCCCTTGGTAAAATTTAAGAAAATTATATTTCATGAAGGTAGAATTCAAACAAATACCTCACTATTCTCCATAGATATATCTCGTTTGTGTCTCCCACTGAACTGCCAAGAAAACATTTCACATGACCATTTGCAAGTTGCAATGCCTGCATGCTGGTTTTCAATTTTCATCCCCACTTTGGCTAAATATGTCTCGTGCTAAATTGTGAACAGTTCATCTTTATTATATTATTGATTAGATTTTCATATTGAAAGTAACACTTGTGAAGTATTAATGTATGAGTTATCGAGAATGCATATGCTCTATAGCTTTGCATGCATGCTGCGGCATATTATATGTTAATAGAGAACAGAAATATATTGTTTAATGCTAGCCTATTTAAAGTGTTTGTTAAATGTTAAGTATTTCCTAGATGATCCAGCTATTAAAGGTCTCATGTAAAGTTTAAAACTCTTTATTACGTTATGGTTTGCATGGGACCTTTAGTGAATATGGACTTAATCTGGTAGCACAATTTTGACCTCTTAGTAGATCTCTCAATTCGGTATTATATTATCTTATGTTGCCAAATAATACATCAACACACAGTCAAAATAAAGTAACAGTGTCTACTTCCAGACTTTGGAACTTGCCTTCAGAATTTGGAACTTAGAAATTATGAACCTAATTTGCCTACTATATAAATATAAACAATCTACAGTTGTACCAATATATTGTCAGTGATAGCTTTTCCCACTGGACAAAGTTTGAGGGGAATATACACAAGGCATTGTCATTCTGTTGTGTGTTTGGGTGATACCAGTTGACCGATTTGATTCTATAGGCTTATGCCTTATGGGTGTAGGATTTTTCAATATGACCTCTGCTGAACAAGAGATTTTCAAGGTGGCCACGATGGCCATCATTTCTCATAAAAAATGTTATCTTTGATAACTCAATACCAATGGATGGATTTGGTTCAAATATATGCATATAGAGATAAAGGAGCTCTGTTCACAAAGAAATATTTAAGATGGCCACTATTTATCATAATGGCTCCCATTTGTCATTAAAGCCATTAAAATTGTAATCTTTGATCACCCAAATATCAGTTGACAGATATGGCACAAATTTTAAATGGTGATTCCTAGGGAAAAAGGTGCTCCGCTCAAGAATGTTTCAAGACTACCACTGAATTTCAAAGTAGCCACAATTTTTTGTAAAAAAATATAATCTTTGATAACTCAGATATCAGTGGATGGAATTGGTATGTGCCAATACCTAAGGACGAGCAAGCTCTGGTCAAGAGGAAATTTTCAAGATTGCCATTATTTATTGAATCATGTGTTGTTCGGTGGGATTTGATCACATAGTAGTGTAGTGTCATATGAACATCCAGAATTGATCACTTGTTATATTGATGCATACATTGGTGCCAACAATTAAATCATGTATCGTACAAGTTCAATTTGTCCAGTATATCCAAATCTGACAGTAATTTGTTCATTATTCTCGCACATTTAGCAAACTCAAAAGTTGGGATTCCTTCATTTATGTGGATGGGTTTATCAATCTCCAATGTGCTTTTGTGAACAAAGGGAGATTTTAAATAATATCCACTTCTATCTGGTCTGAATTTTTTAAACTGCACCAACAAAAATCGCTCAATTATTGCCAGGCTTAAAATTACAGAAGAAGGAGGTCCATTTCATAAATATCCTTTATTCACCTTAATAAAGACTGATTCTACATAATAATAATAACATACAACACATGTTGCTTTAGGATTAAATCCACATATACCAAAATCAGCCACTTCATTCTTACTAAAATGATCTAGCCATTTATAATTCAAACATAGAAGAGAGAAAATTAAATAAAATTTGAATAATCTGGATAAGTACTTTGTACAGCATGTTGTCACATATTATACACGACAAGAATGTGCATCTGGATCAATACACATATAACAGCCTACAGTACACATATAGAATCAAACAGTACATAGAACCTTGCACAATACACATAGAGCATCAGTACAGATAGTTTTATACAGTACACCTAGGGAAATCAGGGTGTGTCATAAGACATACCGGTACTTTATATCAACAAGTCTTGCATCAAGCCAATGGTCACCCCCTGTTTATTTTCTGACCCTGATGGCATGTTCCAAAACAAGTCCATGGCAAAAGTGGTCACTGACCAACAAACCAAAGCTCATGACACATCCTGAACGTTAACTTGCTTTTATATGGATATATATACAAAGCTCAAACTAATCTAACCCAATATGTTGAACAAAAATTCCAGGATAAATAAGTTCATAAAGCATAATGCTGACTATAAGACTACTTTATCCTAGACTCTAGGCTTATCTTGGTTTCAAAATCTGCGAAGACTTGCAGATTAAATTATGACTAAATTTTTTAACCTACCCCAATAGCAGGTCTCATTAAGGTAGTTCCACATGGTGAAAAATTAACATTTTCAAAATTTACATGGATATCTACAACACATATTACAGTTGAAAAAATTCCATTGAAATGACATCTTCCAATTTTTTCAGTTTATTCTGAAATGCAGAACTACCTTAAACATCATATGAATTACATTGAGATTTCAAACTGAAGGCCAAGCTAATTTATTGTGTGATTCCTGGTTAATTCTCAAAAAGCTACATACATAGAAACCACAAGAATATTTTGTCTTGGCCTCATAGGTGATGACTGATTCTATTTACAAACATGTATTTGATGATAACTTAGATATCTACAATTGACATTTCCTCCTTATGTACAATATATTGCGAAAAATAAATATTATATGAAACTGACTCAACCAAGGGGTGAGGTCAAAGTTCAGCACAATAGTTCAGTTTTGCACACATTCACATAATTCTGAATAATTGGCTGTACATGTTATCGTACATGTGTGCAGAACTCTACTATATTTTACATCATCACTTCTCAAATAAAGTCTCCAGAAAATCTTTAATTCAGAGCTTATATTTATTTGAGCTCATCAGCTATTCTCTAGGCTTCTTCGAAGACTAAATTGGATCGTTTACAAAAGCACTGCATTAATAGCAAAAATTCAATGAAAACTATACAAAGAGAACCATGAAATAATCTACATGTCCCAAATGGACTTGACACATTTATATCTAATGCATGCATGCAAATAATAATGTATACATTAATCACTGTACAAGTATTTTTGACAGGTTATTCATATACAGTTCAATACACAGCAACAAGAAGTGTCTTAATTTAAATAAGGTCAATTTTCCTAGTTGGACACATTAACATGTGACTGTGCATTATACTGTATCCAAGAATTTAATCAATGAAAACCAACAACCAACTATAATCTACATTCTGAAAGTTATATTTTACAATAATGGTTTTAATATTATAGTGACTTGTCTAGATTATATTTGTGTTATATGTTCAGGTTTTTCTCCATGTTCATATTTCTCCCACATACTTCTGTAAAGTTTCTCCAGGTGGGAAGCGTAAAGCTTTGTGTTAAATAGTGGAGATTCAGTTCTCTGTTTGAACACCTTCGCTCGGATATCTTTCAAGCTGAAATAGAAATCAATTCAGTGAACTTAAATTTGGGAAATTAAAACAGTTTTAAGCATAAACTAGAATAGTCAATTAGTTTTCTACATATGTTTGTCATTTGCATTTTTTCTAACGAACTGTTGGGTCTTCCCACAGAAGTTGCCTTTCTTGATATCAAAATATTCAATGGATGCAAGTGAATGTTAAACTGGCTTAAACATAAACTATAATAGTCAATTAGTTTTCTACACATGTTTGTCATTTGCATTTAACAAACTGTTGGGTCTTCCCACAGAAGTTGCCTTTCTTGATATCAAAATATTCAATGGATGCAAGTGAATGTTAAACTGGCTGCAACAATAGGCTCAAATAATCAACTGTGCTCAACTCAGCTAAGTGGAAAATACACTTATCAGGGAAAAAAATTTGTCATAAAACTCTGTAAAATATTTCTCGGTCATATTTCTAAAATAACACACGGAAATAGATACATGTATATTTAAAGCAAACTTACTAATGTGGATCTGTTCCCAGCTTGATGGCGATTCTCTCGTAATCCTGCCGTGAGGTGGCTACAAGTTCAGGACACCCAAGAGTGGTCAGTTGTGACGCAGCGACACGAGATGCTAGAGTTTCAGCTGGAAGGGTCACCATGGGAGTACCTGCCCATAGGACGTCCATTCCTGTTGTGTGTCCATTGCAGAGTGGCGTATCAAGACACACATCAGCTAATTGACCTCGACGTACATGCTCTTCCTGAAATGATATACAACATTTTAAGCACATGCTCTTCCTGAAATAGTACATATCATTTTAAGCACATGCTCTTCTTAAAATAGAATAACATCCTCTTCACAGAATAACAAAATAGATCCTTCCTGAAGTCACTTGTGTTTTAATTTTCAATTCTCTACAAGTGACAAATAAATCCATCACCAAAAGTGCCCAGAAAAAAAAAAATCAACAGCGAGTAAATACTAAAATAAAATGACATTTATTCCCCCCGGATTCCTTGTTTTCAACATTTTTGTGAAAGTTCAACTGCCTTAACAGTTTCTGTAGCAAATGAACAAGGTAAACACAAACCAGACCATCTTACCTTTGGAGCAACAGGTGAGAAAACAATCTGAGATGGCTCAATGCCATGTTCTTTAGCAGCTGCAATGACATTCGTCTCCCCAACTGCAGGGAACTTGAGCACCCAAAGGACGCTATTGGGCACTGCCCGCAGGATGTTCGTCCACATACGCAGAGTGTCTGGGTCGATCTTATATAGCTGGTTGAAGTTACAGTAAACTATTGCGCCCTCTGGGAGGTTATATTGTTGACGTGTTGTAATGAGAGGGAGTTGTGGGATCTCCTCACCAGTGGCTGCCTTGTTGTTAGTCTACAATATACAAGTACACAATAGAAACATGTATACAAGTACACAATAGAATGTATACAATTGAGTACACAATAGAAACAAATGTATACAAGTACAGAGGTGTTCAAGTACTATATACAATATGTTAAAATTACACAATAGAAACAGATGTGTATAAGTACACAATAGAAACATATGTGCACAAGTACACAATAGAAACATCCGTGTACAAGTACATACGTATAAGAACACAATAGCACTATCTGTATACATATTTAATGTAAGCTTGAGCACATGAACCACTACATACCTGATTAGTAGTCAGACCATTCTGTACAACAATGCCATTCAGTGATGTCACAGGCTGTCCCTTAGAGATCATCTGTTCTACTGCTGTTGTTGTTGGCAACTCTATCACCTGGGTAACCATCTCTGTTTTCTTTGGACTTTCAACCACACCATTTGGTATTCCATTACTAGCTGTGCTCACAACGACAGGATGTTTAATCTCAGACATTTCCATATTATCCTTGATAGACTGGAGATTAGTTGTGTTCAGCACGGAAACATTATCAGCCTTATTGCCGTCTGGTGTATCGATTACAACTCGCTCCATCATATGTGGGAACATGTTTTGGTGGTCACCAATGAAGAAAGTGTTCGGCATATAGGCCAGTTTTTCACTATAGTGTTCCGATAGTTCTAGAGGAGATGTGATACGATCTGTTATGATATAGTCCATAAAGGAGGCGCCACTAGTACCAGGGTAGCCGAGCCACATCACCTACAGATTAATAAAATAAACATCGATTAGCTATTTTATACAGAAACAAATGATGAATAAAATTGTTTCTTAACCAATATTTACAAATTGAAAATAAGGAATTCATATTATGACAGTTCAAAATCAACTGCAAGTTGGTTGGTTGCAATCAAAACGTAACTATTTGTAACAGATGCTTAAAATAGGTCACACAAAAAATGATAGCTACTTAACAATATATCACAACCAGGAGACATCACATCTGCGATAAATTCTGTTAAATCTTTAAAACAATTACAAAATTTAATTTACATAAATCATACAATCAACAAGTGTCCGATTCCATTGGTTTGCCAAGTCTGCAAAAAATAGTGCCAAGTCAGCTAAAAATAGTACCTGTATTGCAGCTGGTCTGAGAGCAAATAGTTCATTCCTAGCACCTTTAGTGTAACCATTCATGTTAACTAAAATATGGATCCCATCTGCGTTAATTCGGTCAGCCGCCTTCCCATTACATGGTATCTTGGACAGGTCAATAAAGTGTTCTGCCTCTCTGCCAATTTTAGCTCTGAATGCAGTGCCATCATCAGGACTGAGTGAGTAACAGAAAATCTAAAAAACAATTCAAATTTTTTATTTTGTTCTGTGATAATATGTTGATTTCTATTTTATCTTCAACCAAACACCATCGAGTAAATTATGTTTTAAAGCTGATAAAGCCAACGTGAGGCTCAGATTGGTGTGTTTTGTGAACTGAATATATGTATTATAAAAAAATTCAAAATTAGTCATAAGAATAAAATGGTTAAAATCCATAACAATCACCAGGAAAAGAAATGTCTTCTACATTTTAAAGCTGATGAAGCCAATGTGGGGCTCTGTGTATTTTGTGAACTGAATATATGTATTATAAAAAAATTCAAAATTAGTCATAAGAATAAAATGGTTAAAATCCATAACAATCACCAGGAAAAGAAATGTCTTCTACATTTTAAAGCTGATGAAGCCAATGTGGGGCTCTGTGTATTTTGTGAACTGAATATATGTATTATAAAAAAATTCAAAATTAGTCATAAGAATAAAATGGTTAAAATCCATAACAATCACCAGGAAAAGAAATGTCTTCTACATTTTAAAGCTGATGAAGCCAATGTGGGGCTCTGTGTATTTTGTGAACTGAATATATGTATTTTAAAAAAATTCAAAATAAGTCATAATAATAAAATGGTTAAAATGCATACCTCTACATTGTCTCTGTTATGGTGTCCAGGGATACTCTGCATAAGGTGGGAGGTAGGGTGGTTGCCAAAGTCTGAGCTAACATAGCCAATCCTCAACCTACCACTGCTAGCATTCAAGTCTTTAATGTGTTCATAAGGTGGCTTGTGTAGAACATTGATCTGTTGAGAAAATGAAAATTATGATTGATTTAATGGCATATGTAGGCACAATCTGGTGAACATGTGTTTTTTACTCTAAATAAAAAACACATGTTCTAGTAAACCTGAACTTGTCATGCATACAAGCAGAGATGGAAATTGATCAATAAAGCAGCTCAGTAACAAGATTCACAACATCCTATTGTTTTTTTCTGGATTGAATGCACTGGACTGGAATTTATTGATTAAATTTTGAGCGGTTTTTATTTCCCAATCGGCATTAATGTTTGCCATATACTATTGAATTGCTTTATAAACATAACAACTGTATTTGTAATTGTAAAACAATGTAAATTTACTTACTTTTTCTAAACAGAGATTGGCATGTCTTGCCGCAATGGCTTTCCGCATGTCATGTGTAAGTGGGTACAACATGCTATGGTGAGGGTGCACGGATGGGAGACGATTCTTCTCCAACTGTTCGCCAACAATCTGGACCAGTTTCTTCATCCTTTCTTCATAGTCTGACCAGTCACACACAATCTAAATTACAATAATTTAATGTTGCTATTTAATGTATATATTTTTCTAAAAGAAGTATAATTGACCTAGCAATGTATTCCCTACGACCTCAGAAGATCTGTGATATGTTATAAATGTGTGGAGCTTTTTTAGACTGAGACAAAGTACAAATTTTTTGATTACAAACCTGCAAACAATGTGCCAGATTACAGTAAGCATCTGGAAAATCGGGTTTCAACTTCAGCGCTGTACGATAGGATGCAATGGATTCTGGGATACTTCCAGAGTCCTTATAGACAGATGCCAGGTTGCTGTGAGCATCTGCAAATGCTGGATTGATCTGTATGGCACGCGTGTAGCACTGCATTGCTCCCTGGTTGTCCTGCATCTCCTTAAGGAGATTGCCCATGTTGGAGTAAGCATCAGCAAACGTGGGAGCTATCCTGAACACAAAACATTCACAGTTAGTACATAACAGGCATAGTAGATTTCAATACTAATTTTTTACAAAAGACTGAAAAATTCATATATTTGTATCCAATGGTTCATTATAAAAATTGCTAATGTTAAAAATACTTTTATTTCTAGTTAAGTTTCAGTTGGTAAGTTCAGTTATATTTCTAGTTGGTAAGTTTCACAATGAAAGTTAATATATTATCCAAAAATTAAGAATATTTCAACATACTCGATTTGTGACTAGTTCAATACACACTATATTACAGTCTAAATACTAACTGAATATTCATATGACATCAAAATACAAGACGACAGGCTAAAAACAACATGCTATAAATAGAACAGAAGATGACTAGCTGCCGTTGACATTTTGTGATACGTGCAACTCCATCATTTCCATTCAACCAGCTCATATTATCGACTATCAACAAAATAGAACACAAATCAACAAATATCACAACAAATATGAAAATAAACACATTTGAATGTACATTCATATCACAAAATCAACAAAACACGACACCATGCCTAACAAAATCCAGTATACAAATAAATAAATCTAATATAAACCTAGCTAGAACATTCATCAAACGGAAAATGTAATATGTTTTAGCACTGATTTGTTTTATAGGAGCTACATCAATGGTTTTGTTCATAGCAAGGAAACTGTCTTAAATGAGATTTTTTTATAACTTTGACTAACGTGCCAAAGGGGTAAACAAAGGGTAATTGGAATATAAGAGACTTATTTCTAAAGTAAGTTTTTGATATCAGAGAGGTATACCAAAAAATAATTTGAAATAACAATCTTAATTCCAGAATAGAATAAATCAAAGTTTCACATCTGCATATAATAGCAAAGATCAAACTAAATAAATCACATGAACAACAAAGAATGAAAATATGATTTTGTTTTATGGAAATAAAACTCAAAAACGACAGATTTTCTGGGCCTAGTTTTATGAAGCATGACTGAATCGACAACAACCACACTAAGCTGGTACTGAACATGCAGCCCATCCTCCCACACAATATACATGTTCATGGCCAAGCTGGTAGGGCTTCAGTCATGAATATGTATTCCTTCACTAAAATGCATTGAAAATACATGTCATAGCCTAGGCTTTACTAATCTGGCCCCGACTATCAGATCGTGTTGAATCCAATTTTCATCTTACTAGAATTTTGACATAATCTAATTTCGGTGGCTACTGTGCCATGTAAGCCAAAAATGTCAAAGGCCAGAGACAGTGATAAACTGCCTGGCTGAAAATTTTTCAACTTCTCCATTCTTAGAGTCAGCAGCTGATGAGATTGAAATGCTTACATGCCTTCAGATCATTCATGTTTAGCACAAAAGCAGGACCATCACATTAAATATGCATTCATAGTGAATCTCATTAATTGCCGGTTGTTTGGGGAACTTCAACACTTTCCATGTTATCTAGTGTTTTGCCAGTTGTTAGTGCGTGGCCCAAGTGAGCAAATTACCAAAATTGCAACATAAACGTGATGTGGTCCTACTTAAATGTAAACTTTCAATCCCATATGATAATGATAATGATCAGTTTCACCTATTGAATGGTCACCATTTTGACACTCCCTTGCAAATATTTCTTTTTCACTTTTTGTTTTTCAAAACATGTCATATTTATTTCATTCATAATTAATTCTCTATTTTGCAATTATTTGAATGTAAAAGCATAAATATTAGAAAGGATTGGACAAAAGGCAATTTGCATGTAAAAGTTAAGTCTTGAATCATGTCCCTGGAACTCCAATTATATTTCACCTTATTGGGTAATGGTATGGACAGGGGAATGTGCAAGACTAAGTTAACACGCTGTATGAGCGTGTATATGATTGAGAAAATTTTTGAAAAACAAAGTGAGGAAACAAATGCAACGGACATGCAATATAAAAACTATTGTGTGTGTGGGAGGGGGTCTTGCCCCCAGGGTGGGGCTCATTGCCCAGGGGTACCTTATCGCCTCCTGATAGTGAGCTAGGGCCTCGCTAAGTTTACCCTGATACTGCAGAACACTCGCCAGGTTAGAGTGAGCCGCCGCAAATTCTGGGAATACCTAAGACAAACCACCTCTTAAATAAAAATCTGAACACCCTGTATTTTCAAAACACTGTGACGTGTTTAAACCAGTGGTGTAGTGTAACACTCTGTAGTGAATACACGAGGGAATGAAAACTACAAAAGTAACCATCTTGCGTTGCTAAAATAGAACAGCTCATGTGAGTAGCCTGCAAAATGAGCACTAAGTAAACCCTTGTGTACACACTGTTGTGTTTCTGGAGACAAGGTCACTGAGGATGATGCAAATACTTGTTACATACCCTAAGTGACCATTCTGTAACATGGCCGTGGACAGCCAACAATCACATCAGATGTAAGGCAGTCATTTCACAGGATCACTTTTCAAAGTTGATGCAATTTTATATATTCTGAGAATATCCTATATGACAAGTTTTAACCCTTTTCTCCCATATGTCACAATTTCCAATAAATATCGATTTAATTATAACTTTGAAATAATTTGAAGGACAAACAAGAAGCATATTCCATTTTAGTTATATTCTGTGAAATGCCTGTGTTGAATGCATTACTGTGATGTGTGCTGTATGACTGTAAATGAGCCCACGTACAGACCTTCACCCCGTTGTGTATAGTGACCAATAGGCAGTCATACAACTTCCAAATGTACAACTGCCTACTAGCATCTCACTTCTATGACATTGGCCAACCTGTGAATTTTCAAACTCAGTGGTCTATGAACATTGTATTTAAATGCATCACACTAATTTGTCTTCCTACATTGGAGAGTAATCATTGAAATTTCTTATTTCTGGCAGCATTAGAAGCATTTCTTACTAAATTGACATGATTTTGAGTTTTGAAACCTGCCTTTGCGCAACATGGTTAGACCTGTGAGATTTTGCAAAACCCATAGATTGACCCATGTACCCTGTAGGAATATAATATAACATTAGACATAGTATGATACCTTATAGCTTCTTTATAATGTAGGAGGGCATCATGAAGTTTCCCTTGTTGTTGTAAAACACTGGCTAGGTTAGAATGGGCCACAGCGAACTCAGGGTACACCTAAAATTAACATTCACACTTCACAACAACTACACATGCATTCTAACACTGATAAATGGTTTATAGGGATTGAATTTGTTTTAACAAATGCTGCCCCTTGTGATTGATAATAAAACAGAATAATCCAAGAAATGGCATGTTCTATTCAGTACTTTGCGATGCTCTCATAAGAAAATTATTTGCTGAAAATTATTTGCTCTAGAATTCCCACTTAGTCAAATTAAGTGACATTGCCACTTGTAGACAACATTTCCACAGAAATTAAACCTACTCCAAGTGAAACATTGCATTCTCGTGTTATTTTCATATGAATGGAAATCCCATATATAAACCAATTGGAAATTTCAAAGCAAATAATGACTTCTATGTCTGAAACACAACAAGATCAACAAGAAAGCTAAGAGCTATGAGGTAATTAAGCCGCAATAAGTGAAAGTGAGCTCGTGATAACTGCAGAGCACAACAATATAAAATAAAACAACGAGACTCCTCCTTTTCCTGTAGTTCTGGGCTAAAATCACTTACAATATCCAAACACTAACTAATTAAAAAATTTAACATTTTTGCCAAAATATAAACATTTTACTTTTCAAGCAACAATATAAAGTGACAGTTACTTATTTTTAAATTTTCAAATAACTGCTAACTGGATGATATAGAAACTATAACAACAGGGAAAATATTCAAAATTCTCAAATTACTGCTATAGAACGACTACATAGGAACTATTATCAGGGAAAATATTCAAGAATCTTTTTTAATTAAAACAAACGATTTGAAATATATTTTTGACACTTGATGCTAACTTACCTCCAGAGCTTTTCTGTACAGTGCAACAGCATCTTCAGTATTACTTTGTTCACGTTTGATATTTGCCAAGTTATTTAGTGAATCTGCGTGTGTGGGACAGAGCCGCAGGGCTGTGTTGTAACACTCTTCAGCCTCCGCTACCTTCAATGCAAATGGACACATTTTAACATTTGCTGAATCTATATTACCATGTTATATCGTAGCTTGAAAACAATAGCAGGTTTCTATTTATTTATTCGTAAGATGGGATGTCAGTTCAAATACACAAACTTTAAGCTTGTACTTGTCCAATATTTTGTCCAACTCATGCTGAATTTCTCTATATTGCACGGACTATCATTATTCATTCCTCAGGAAAACAGCCACCAGTATCTATATCTTTAAATTGTTAATTGCTTGCAGATGCTCAAATTCCCCCACCACCAATGAAAGAACAGTGTATTCTTACCTTTCCCTTCTCTTTCAGGGCATTGGCCAGGTTGCAGTAAGCATCTGGGAAGTTTGGCTGGAGCTCTATAGCTCGTCTGTATGTATCTATAGCCAAGTCTATGAGGCCTTGCTCATAATAGACGCATGCCAGGTTACCATGTACAACAGCATGGTTGGGACTCAGGTTCAGTGCACGAAGGTATGCTGCCACTGCCCTGAAAAGTAATATAACACATTTATAACACTAGAAAATGATGATTCCTGACAAAATGCAATTTTGATCATCAACAATATAGAGTAAAAGAGGCAAAATTATATGTGTAGTGATTGGGTTTTATGACATTATTCTAGTAGTTCTCAATAACGTTTCCTCGTGTAGATATCAATTTATAGTCCAGTTTTCAACAAAAATTTCACCCAATTCACTGACGTTTCATTTTCTCTGACTTGTAAAACTCTCTTAATATTTTATTCTATTGAGGTAGAATGGCAATGGATTTTAGATGCCAGCCAGTAGAGATCTATTCCTTAAAGCAACAAACCTGTCAAATATTCTGGCCTCCTTCAGTACATTTCCAAGGTTGATATAAGCATCTAAGAAATTGGGGTCCAACGCCACTGCTTTCTCAAAGTGATGTATGGCCAACCAGATCTCCCCCTGACTGTTGAACACACATCCCAGGTTGCTCCATGCTACAGCAAAGTTTGGCTGAGTCTCTATGGCCTTCAGATAGCATGCCTATTGGGGGTACCATCCAGGGCAGCACATAAAATAAAGAAGGGGGCGGGGGAGGGGGAAGGGGAGAAATTATGAATTAGTAAAGGTTTGGTAAATATGGTCGCTGCGCTTGAACTACAAAACAAATTGTAATCTAAAGGAACCTCGATAATATGGGCCGAAATTTTTTAGATGATGATGATCGTCGTTTGATCGATTTATTTGAGATTTCTATAGACTACTTATTTGATACATTAGCTGCTGCTTGCTAGCACGCGCACACTTGTAAGGCATGATGCCTTTTAGCTATCGCAAGTTAAAAATTCAACACCGAGTGCGTCCATGGCTTCTTTTACTTGCCGTTTCAATGCACATTAATGTAAATTTTCAACTGAGTAAGTCACCCTTGAGATGCTACATTCAAAGGACGCTATCTCAATTTATTTACATTTACATTCAAATAAGTCAAACAAGTGATCAATAAAGAACAAAAAATTATAGTTTGAAATTTTGCGAAATTATTCATGAAAATATGGATGTAGCACTGTCTCAAGGATTGACTATTTAAAACAAACCTGAACGAATTGCAATTCATCCTGAAAAAATGATAATTTTCAAATATCCTCTCATATCCTAAGAAGACTGGAACAAAATATATACAGAGAATGCAGTTTATCTAAAAATAAAATACAGACTTAAGCGCAGTTTTGCCAAATTGCATTTTTCAAGAAGAATGTACAATTTGGATTCAGGTTAGCTTTAGCGCATCATGCAAATTGGTGAAAGCTTGTCTTCTCATATGTAATATAGAACCAGTATATAAATGAACTCCATTATTAAGTATGGAAAGCAAATATTGAATGTCCTGCAAAAATACATGTAGGAGTTGTCATTTTAATTTTAATGGAAAACATTCACTGTATGATAGATTTAGAGAAGAGCAAACTGGGGAATATGTCAAAAGGCGTGTGTCTAACTACATAGAAAAGAGAAGCCTCCACTTAATAACGCTGCAGCGCACACGCGTGCGCCTCGCTTGCGCAGTTCTATTACAGTATATCTTTGCTGAAACTTTAGACACGAGGATAATAAAATACAAATACAGATATAGTCTCCATCATGAAAAAGATAACATGGATTATTACGTACATTTAAACGTTCATGAACCACCAGGCCAAAGTTATAGGCCCTTGGTTACATGATCGCAAACCATTCTGTATACTTTACCAATGGCGAAACAATGTTGTGTATGATTTACAAACCGTAGTATATCGCATACCCCTAGTTTTAACGAGGCACCAGGATTCCACAGCGTCTCTTGGCAGCTCTACGTGACCACAATAATGACTAGTGTTCAAATAAAATAAAGCAGAAAGATTAGTAATATGTGAAGTTCTACATAAGAAAATATGGTGTACATTCAATAATGATTCTTAGGTTCCCTGCCATGTTCCTCCCATAAATCCTGAAATTGTTCACAAAACCTGCCCCTGTTTTTAAATTGTAAACCCCCAATTTTTTAGCCTCATTCTGATTGTTATAGTATCAAGACTATCGTAAGGTACTATTGAATGCACACCAATATGATACAATGGGTAGAATATCTGCTCAGGAGATTTATGAAAGAAAAAAAACACTGAAAGCCTTGTATAGTGTGTCTTTTGGGTCACAAACTAGCAACTATTCCAAGATATCTCTGAATTTCAATGAAGTTTCCTTGGTGCAATATTTTTATTAAGTGAACTCAGGAGTTCATACTGGAACTTTTTTGACGTTCTGCAATTGATCAATATACCCGCAAAGACATTCATTTAAAGGCAATTTTGTAACTTTTTCTCGTCAATGCCATTGGTTATATGCTCGGAGCTTATCGATGCAAAATAAGTTACACGATCCATACTGAATGATGACTTGTAGGTAGGGTCAGTAGACTTTTTTTAACAAAACAGTGGATATAAACAATCGGAAAAGGCACTTTAATCTTAAATTATTAAATATTTTCTTACTGGATTACTGGTCCATGAGGGAGTATGTTGTTAATGAAACGTACAAATGATTTTGCAAAGACATATGCTTGTACAATAACCACTGACATTGCAATTATTTACTTTTTGTAACGAATAAAGTTAAGTGTTATTCAAATTTTATAAGAGCAGAAATTCTTATATAAAAATTATTTTTTGGGATATGATTGCATTGGATATTAAGAAATCAGAAATTTTGAATTTTTCTACTCCAGTCAAACCAGCCGGATGTACGGGTGTCGATACTTACTGACATCTAAGTCACTGATTGGTCGAACACCGCACAGTATTAACCAATCAGCATACCCTTGGCATATCACACCCCATTAGATGATTGGTTCGCCATATGTCCTTCTTTATTCCCGAATCCCAGAATGCACTCCCAATTTATATTAAGCAGTGTTGTTATGGTAACAGTGATTCGACCAATCAGTGACATGACAGGCTTCAAATCTATGCCTGGATAAAAACAAGCGCAACGCAAAAGCGCCGGAGCAGCTACAATCAGAAACAATTCTAAACTACCACACCTGCCTGATAACCTATTTTTTTAATCAACGGTGTATCAATAATAGTTATCAAACTCAGAATGGGAGACCAGAAACTACTGCTTGAGTCAATGAAGCTATTCCATATATAGAACGTTTAACATCCATGTTGCTATGGAGACTGTTTTCAATTGGAAGATTAATGTCCTCTGTTATATTCAAGCAGTTACAAGTTGGAAACTGTAGCAAGCTCCGTTTAGAGGGGACGTCACAAAAAGGTGACGTTCAACTCCAAGACGATTCGCAACCACCTCAAATCTGGCAGGTTGTTCATCGTTACATCTCATTATAATTTGTAGCATGACATCATTATGTTATGTCACAGTCAACTCTTACTTTCATAGGTGACATAGTGATACTGTGACATGACATGTGTGACATGCTACAACATGGGATGTGACACTCTACGACACAAACGGCTGTGTTCTAAAGAGTTTATAGCATGGTACACAACCATATCCAGATATTAACCAATCATGTTTAGTCATTCTAAATTCAACATGCAGGTCTTTCAACCCTGCTCACAATGCATTCACATCCATTCTACTAGATTACATTTACAAAAATTTATTAAGAATATTTACGCTAACATTTAAAACAAATAAATATAAGACTTTATGATTTGACTTAAAAATGTTCAGTTATTTATATAGATCTGTTATTTTTCATAGTTAATTAAATGAGAAACATGACAGATGGTATGAATAGAATTTCAAATGGTCAACAATCCCATCCCTTTCCCCATCCACTGAAACCATATGACATCAACAGGCATGCAATATCAAAGGACCCCTAAGATAAAATGGAATAGAATTCAGACTGGAATATCAAGTATTAAATTAACATGGGCAAGGCAGAATTACTGGACTCTGTGTCAAGGCATTATGGACATGGCAGAAATAACGGACTTTTACCTTAGCTTCATCAAGACGGCCCAGGGCCTTTAACAGGTTGCCTAGGTCACTTCGTACACAATACAGATCCTAAAATGACACAGACAAAGAGATGGGGTTTAAATAGGGCACTAGTCCCTACCTTGACCCTTAAGGGGCATGGCAGAAATAATGGACTTTTACCTTGGCTTCCTCATTACGTCCTAACGCATAGAGAAGATTACCTAAGTCACTGCGTACACAGTAAAGGTCCTGCAACAAACAAGCATGCACAATGAGTTTGCATCACCTTCTATTACAACCATCTCCAGCATCAAGGGGACTTGAAAATTTAAAGGATTTTTGAGTGTTTGGAAGACTGCATTGCTTTGTTGATTATATTATGACCCTTGAATTTCAAGATCCTGACACTAAATATTAATTCCAGTTCCTTGTACATGTAATGGTTAAAGTTAGATATTTCGGGTTTTGAAATGATTTCAGAACATTCAATTGCCAAATTTTGAAATAAAGAATTAATTGATCCCAAATGCCCCAAAGACATGCTTGTTAAATGAGATTATGTTAATCAACTTAAAGGAGATACATGAAGGACACCTGGGATTCCTCAACATTACAACTCTTCCAATATTCAAAATACCCAGTCCTTTAAAGCCCCGCCCTTATGTGAAGATTGTTGTATTTCAATTTCATTTGGATCAATTTCATAAAAACAGAAACACAGCATTTATTAAGGTTTTTAATAGATGAAGATTGGTCAAAAACAACGAAGCGAGTAACGCAGGAAGTGGCACAGAAGAAAACATGGCACCTGAACTGGCACTGGCCTTGTCATACAAAAGTCTACACTCAATGGTTGATTTTAAATGCTGGATTAAGCTTTTTGGCATTGGCATAAATTGGCATAAACTGGCATTTCATAGGTGATGCAAACAGTAACAGCTAAATTCCCCATTCCACCATTTTGGATTATTTCCTAAATATTTACACATGTCTCATAAAACAGTTCATTTTTCAAACAGTTCATGTATTAAAACAGAAACTCAAACTTACACATCTGCTGTTCAGCCTTGATTTACAGAAATCCAAAAAGGGTGATTTCACCATTCTATAAATCTATTTCTATAAAAAGATTGTAAAAACTTTTGGCAGAATGATCGCCAAAGAGATATTTCATTGAACTGTTTTATATAAGGCAAGTATAAATATGAGTCACCATTTTCAATCTTCTAAACACATGCTGTTTTTTTAATCAATCACATGTTAACCCTTACAAAAAGCTTTTTTCATGGAGTATAATATTATACATGAACATTTCTAGACTATCAGTGTCTTTATTTACAGATTAATACACATATGAATATTATATGAGGACTTCTGATAAAAATAGACACAGAGGACCTTGCAAATTGTTATATAAGAGACATTGAAAAAAAACTTTCAAAATAAGAGAAAAATATCCTTTTTTGGGCTCACATGAAAATTCCTCATTGTCATTTTTAAAAATAGAGTAAATTCCAAAACTTGATCAAATCGTGTTATGGATAAGGCTTACACAACACACTAACTCGTTCAGATATTGATATCAACTCGTGGATAAAAATGGTATCTCTCAAAATCATACGATATCCTATACTTAAATCTGATGAGTGAACAACTCTATTTGTTCACCCTGTGAGCTTGAAACCTCTGTACTCATGAGGTTTTTTCTATTTTCATAATATTCAAGATATTTATTATTGAATAGGATGTATTTGTCTTTGAAAGGGTTAACAGTATGATTCAACAATAATAAAGCATGCAACAGCTGAATCTAATCACATGATGGGATAAACAGGAAAATGAATGACAAGGATGAAGTAGTGATAAATGCCATGTAGTATTGAATTCATTCTATGCTATATAACTTCACACATGAAATGGTTTGTTAATCGTGGGACTTTTTACAAGGTTGCCACAGTATTTTCAAATTATAATCTTCTAACTTTTCCCCTCTCAGTGGTAAAATAAATTCTCCCCCCCCCACCAATTACCAAAAATAGGGATAGAGGCTGTATGTTTATGATTTTAGTAGTTTTAAAGATTTTTTCAAATTCATTTTTTGTCAATTTGTGGTCCAATTTTCATTATGTCACCTAAAAATTCCCAAACCAGTTTATGGGAGATCATTTTGGTCTTCCCTGAGCATGGCAACCATGTTTGAACATAATATCGTAACTTGGTTAATGCTATGTTAATGGGTTTTTAAACCAGAGAGCATCAAAATGTATTTTAGCCCCGATAGGAATGTTTTAAGTCATGTTGAAGAACAATAGATGTATTCTCATAAACAAAAAATAGGTGGCAATTTGGTATCATATTAACAGTATGAATATGGAGACAGGTGGCTACTTGTGTAAAAAAAACAAGAGATCTTTCCCATCAACTCACTTTAGTTTATGTTGACTATCCTTAACATATACTTTTAATATAGCCCTTGTTGATGTAAAATAACCCCTGGTTGTATCAAAGACCCTGTTTGCTTCACTGTAGCCCTAGTTGGTGTAAAATAGCCCCTGGTTGGGATGGTAACAGTGGGGGTTTCTAAGACAATGTTTGTTTCACCATAGCCCTAGTTGGTTTAATAGGTGGAACAAGGAATAGCTGTAACATTTACTAGTGGTATAACACAACATATAACATTTAACAGGAATAAACAAGCTTAATCTTTGCATGCAATTTTACTTTAACCAAAAAGAGAATTAAAGATAAAGAAAAACCTGATAAAAAATTTTAAAAGTTGAAAAAAATGTTTGTAAATTATGTCTTAAGGCCAGTCTCAGTTTGAAGATGCATAAAATTGATATCTATGAATTGTGTATGAGGATTGTGGAATCTAAAACACTATTAATAGTAATAAAAAAAACTACATGCTATCATTCAGACACACATATAAAACACTGGATGATGACATTGTATATTCACAATTATGTCTAATCATACATTGTTTTATGGCATCCGACATGACACTTAAAAAAACACTAATTAAAAAATGTGATAAAAGTTTCAGTGTTAAGAAATAATTAAAAAAGAAAAAAGATCTCCCATTGCAAATGTATTTAAGAATTCAGATTCACGAAACCTTTCAACAAAATTTGAATAATAAACAATCAAAATTGGAAATTGTACAGAGAGGGGCCAAAAATCATCACAAAATGATGATCCTTTTTCACAAGTTTAAATGTATGGAACAATTTTTCAGGCCAGGGCATTGAACAGAATAAATTAGATACTTTAGAAATCATCCTCCTGGAAATGAGACAATGGGAGAAAAAATGCACATCTAAAGATAAATACTAACATAAAATAAATAAAAAAAAAACAAAAAAAACTATCACTACAAACAACAATCGACTAGTCTAATACATCTCATTTAAAACTACATCATATGTTAATTATCACGATTTGAAGCTGTTATGGAAAGTGACATGTTGTACATATGAAGCAGTGATTTCCCCAGGATTTTTTCTCATGTGGGTGCAAAATTCTAATTTTCAAGTTGGTGCAAATAATTTTCAGGTGGTGCAAGTCTATTTTCAAAACGTCAGATGGGTGCTGCGCCCACTTGCTTTAATGCTGGGGAGATCACTGTGAATAAACCAAAAGTAATTCATTCTTTAACCCTTTCCCGACGTGAATATAAGAGGAAAATGTTGTCCCCAGTGACGGATAAGTAAGAGTGTTTTTTAGGGGAAAACTGCAAAATACCTATGCCCTGGGACCTATACCTTGAATTTCATCACTGATATACAATTTTTAGTAAGGATTATCACATAAGAACAACTTGTCAAAATTTGCTGTAAAAATACTGAATAGAACTGGAGATATTGTCATTTCATTGATGTATATAAATAAAAATAATGGTGCCAAAAGGAGCCTATCGTGCTGAAAGGTATTACATAATAGGGCTCCATATGGAGCCTATCGTCGTGAAAGGGTTAAAGGCAACTGTCTCAATGTAAGTTTTGTTCAGTATTTCATGAAATCATTTATAAACTAAGTTTTATCATTTAGTAGATAAACCATGAACATCAACATATGTACAACATACATAAGAGAATATGTCAACACTTGTGAAGGAATAAAGCTCAATTATGGGAGAGAGGGGGTAATAATGATTTCATTTGTGAATAACTTTGTTCAATTCAAGTGAAAGGCAATTCAACATTTTAAAATCAAATTCCACAGTTCAGGGGAGAGAGGAATCAACTTTATTTTTCACAGCTGTTGACATTTAAACACCTTTTGTTTTAATTGAAAATCAGTTCTTCATATCAAATCGTTAGTAAAATTCGAAACAAACAGCTATCTATGAAATAAATAAAATCTTATCATCTAGTTCAAGGTTTATATTTTTTATCTGATCAATAAAATTTTACATTAAGTTGTTTACTCATTAAATTGAACTTGTTTTAAATTTAATTTTCAGACATCCTTCAATGATATCATATCATAAAATCAATTTATGTAACATACGATGACACAATACTTTACATTCATGAAGAACTTACTGGATTATACTGCAATGCTGTCACATATGCTTGTACAGCTTGTTCCATGTCCCCAGCCGCAACGAGCGCTGCTGCTAAATTTATGTAACCATCTATGAAGTCTGGTTTTAACCTAACTGCATGTCTATAATTTTCTAAAGCTTCGGGTAATAGTCCTCTTTCTTTATATACATTGCCTAGATTTGAATATGCTTCTGCTAACATGGGATTCTGTTTAATGGCAAGTTGACTGAAGTATGCTGACCTGAAACATGTAAAGAATGTACAGTTAAACATGTGTACAGTAACACAAAGAAAAAGAATAAACTGTTAAATTTGTTTATAGTAAACACCAAGAGAGGTTACCCTGGATTAACTGGATTTACTGTTTAAAGAGAATGTGCCTAAAATGATTTACCCTTTCTGCATTTTTATATGTGTAAAATTGTCCCTTCCATTCAAACTTTCTACTACTGTGATTTTAATAGATCATTTACTATTTTCTTGACATACTAAAATGCAGATAATCTTACCTATCCAGTCTGCGGCACTGAAAATGTATAGAGCTAAGTAAAAGGAGGACTCCTGTGTTTTCTGGTTCTTGTCGCCAAAGCTGCATGCAGTGTTGTTCTGCTTTCTCATAATCACCAGCTTGATATTCTCTATGAGCAAGCTCTGCTAAACCTATTGTCAAAAAATAAATGTGCACTCCACAACTGATTATGTTAATTACTGGGTTAAATGTAAACAGCCTAGGGCAAAGGGGTGTAATGTAGACACATTGGGTAATGTCAACATAAGAAATGGGGTAAATATGACACTTGTTAGTTAGAACAAGGAGGACTGTGTCCCGGGGGCAACGTAACTCAATATTATCTAACAATGAAAATGTCAGAATGTTGTTATTTTCTGACATCACCATATAAGGCAAAATATTGACTTAGAACCCTGAGAACCATTAGAAAAATTAGAATTTCCATTTTCTGCCAGTTTGAAATTCATAAAAATAAGATATTGCAATCCATGCAAGAAAAACAAGGTTTCCACCTTTAGGCTGGAAATTAGAGCAAATAAACAACAAGGTGTAGAAGTTGCCCCATAGTCGAAGTTACCCCAAATTGAAAACAAAATGGCTTCTGAAGCAATGTTATAACCCTAATCGCCAGCAATGCTAAATCTCATGGTGCATTTTTACTAAATTAGCAAAAGTAATATTATTTCAAATTATGGTGAACAAGAATATGGCAAGTGGTTATCTGGAGTTATTTGAGCATGCAATGTTGGTAAGCCTTGACTAGGCCTACACTAACCAAACCCGTCTGCCCCAGTTTTCTACTCCCGACATTGTAGATCTGGGCCAGACGAGGTCCAATGCAAAAAAGATGGATTTACTCTAGAAAAAACATGTCGCTGAATCATCACTTATTATTCATTTCCTATTAGCCATCCAACCAAAACATTGGGCTCCATGTAAACCCAAGTATTTATTTGAAATAAAGAGTATATAACTTAGAGTCCATTTCAATGTTTAACTGCGTCAGTAAAAGCTAAAAAATAAGAAATCAAAATATCATTTTGCAATAATATATGGAAAAGTATATTCATAATGTACATGAATGACATTTGTATATCTTGGATTGCTTCTAGTTTGGCTTATAAAGTGTGTGGCCTCTTATATTTGGATGTTTCTCTGCCATGTTATTTTCAATAAGATTAACATGGCCGAAATTCTTCAAATTACAAGACGGCACAGGCTTATTGCACAAAAAACTAAAAAATCTGAAATATACAAATGTCATTCATGTACATTATGAATAAACTTTTCCATATATTATTGCACAATGGTCTCCCAATTTCTTATTTTTGCCGTTCTACTGACGAAATGAAGCAGTGAAATGGACTCTACACGTAAATTTGCTGTTTTGTTTGTTGTATTGATGTTGAAATGGACACAACATTTCGTCAATATTTTTGTCAGTTCTCCGCACCGAATAAAGTCACGTGATGTGACGTAATACAAGTGTACGTAATATAAATACAAAGTTTGATATACAAGGAACACATACGTAAGTGTTTTTTAAGATATTTATTCATTTATCAGCACATATTATACATTAAAAAAACCAGTGTGTTTTCTGGAGTAAATCCACCTTTTTTGCACTGGACCTTCTTTGGCCCAGTCTACGACGTCAGGAGTAGATAACTGGGCCAAACTGCTTTGGTTAGGCCTAGGGCAAAGGGGTGTAATGTCGACGTGTGGGGTAATGTCGACATAATAGACGGGGTAACTTCTACACTTACGTATTAGAAGTAGAATTTCCCTTTTCCGCCATGTTTGATTTCTGGAAAAATTAAAATCTCGCGAGATCTCGATCCATGCGAGAAAAAAAAACAAGGCTTCCCCCTAGATTGGAAATTAGAGCAAATAAACAAAAAGGTGTCGAAGTTACCCCACATGTCGAAGTTACACCAAAATGGTGTCGACGTTACACCCCTTCGCCCTACACATGTTGAAAAACTAGATCTCTATCATTGTTCTAAAAATTGATTATACATTTATACTATTTTTAACTGCAATGAGTTTCTTCAAGCTACACAGAGCTCATCAAGATATAAAGATATCTTAAGTGACTAGTCTACATGCAGAAAGGTAACAAATTGTCAAAAAATCATTTTATTTTTAGGCCTGGAGCTCAGTCTATCTGACTTACCTTCCCAATGACGTCATATTCTAAGTGAAAAATTGATCAATTATTTGCGTTTTTTGCCATTTGTTTTCTCTGAAAATACCCAATATCACGTTTACGCATAGAAATTAAACACACTTACCCGTTGTATCTGTTATTTGTGTCATTTTTGTCTTTTTTAGATCAGGAAAACGTGATAAAATGCGTAAATTCTTTTCATCTCACAATAGACAAAATGGCGGATCTGTGAATTCCTAATAACCGCCTTGTCTGGAGTTTGCCTGACATAAATAAGTTCGCATTTCAATTAGTAAACGTATAACTTCATCAAATCATACTATAAAAACACAATTGCATGAGGGAAAATCACCATTTTTGACTGAAAAATATATATTTGATGGGTAAAACGGTTAGGAACTTTATTTAGTTCCACTTTTGAGTTTGGCGGATGAAAATATGCAAATTCTTTGCAACAAAGAAAAAGAAACTGTATAACTGTTAGAAAGAAAGAATACTTCCGAGTTTAATCCATTACTTTGGTATTTGACGACTTTCTTTGAATCTTTTGCAGTTGTTTCTTGGCAAATTGATATTATGAATAGAAATTACAAATTTCAGTCATTTTATGAAGTCAGTTAGGGAAATATGAAAATATTATACTCAGTTAGGGCCAATAATACCAAAAAGCACAACTTTTTCTAAACCCACCACACGAAAATATTTTACAGTATTTGAAATATTGTTTACAAAATCTTCAAACAAATTAACAATATATTTTATTTATTTTGAAAGCTTGAAAGAGTTGATTTCGATAGTTTTATGATTTTAATTTTAAAATTTCGTTTAAAGGGTCAGTTTGACATTTAATTGAGATTCCCACTCATTTCCAGAAACGAACCGATCTTGTTTCCGTGTTGAAAGAAGTGTTATAAAACAACATTATTGGTAAGTATGGACCTTATGTGCATTTTGAAATTGAAATTAAATATTTTTTCTATAAATAATTAAATCTACGTGTCATATCATGCACCATAAGTGGATGGTTTAAATGTTCAAGTGTTGTTCTATTTTTGCTTGACAAGTCACAAATGTCAATGTGACTGTCAAATTGTCAAGTGCAACTGCAAGTTAGAAGATCTGCATACCCTGGAATCTAACCTACTCCAAACACGTCAGAGTTGTATGTAAATGACCATGATGAGTACCTGCAGAGCCTGAGTAATGTCACAGGGTGGTCCTGGAAATCAAGATGGAAGGACCAAAATCTGTCCACCGCCAGTTATGTCAATTTGTATTGCAACAATACACTGCAATTAAAACCAAGACTAAAGCGCCTACAAGGACTGCGGAGAGAAAAATTGATAAATTTTACCTTTTCTGAGCTATTGGGGGGAAGTTTGGTCTAACATCTTCCATATTCCTCTTTTTTTAAAATGTAGTTCAGGGAATATTGACAGTTTTCATGTAATCTAAAAGGGTTCTGGCTCTAAAATACTCCAAAAGTTTTGAAGTTTATTATTGTCTACCATTTGGATCATGCATATTTTTTTATTTAAAAAGCATTCTACCAAACCATAGAATTAGTTTAAATTCTAGGTCTCCATCCAAATAATATTATGTGGATTTACACAGGAGAAAATAAAAACATAAAATGTAAAAACCTTTCTTAGTTTTCTTGAAGGAATTAAAAAAGATTCTAGAATTGAAATAACTTTTGGAAAGGGGGGGGGGGGGTGAAGAATTCATCACTCAAGCTTTTAAATCACATTCAAATATTTTCATATTAAAACAGAGGAGCTACATGTATTGCTTATTACAAATGTAAAATACAATTTTATGGCATGCCATTTTAGTGCACAACTACTGCCATTACATTATGCATACTTTATGCATCATATTAATTTCCTATGTCATGTTTATGGTAAACGATTACATTAAATACAGGAACTAGGAATTATATCCATCTGTTACTATGGTCACTTTATACAATGATTTCTGTTCACCGACACTATACATGTATTGAAGAAGCAAAGATTAATATTTGGTCACTATTCACATGTAATTTAAACTATAGAAGCATAGATTGATCTCTTGTCAATATATATTAGTAAACACATTCTCTAGAAGCGGTAGCATATAGTTTTCTTGGTTAGAAGTCCATGGTTCCTCTAATGCTGGGAAGATTACTTTGTCATCTAAAGAGTGTCACACAAATTTGATTACTGTCTTATAAAGGGTAGTTAGTGCATGATGTATAACTGTGAGGATTCAGAGATATGTTTATGATGGACATGTGCTTATTACTGTCGTATAACTTAACACATGTGTGATAGAATTGATATAAACCCTAATAGGTCAATTTCAGACATTTATATCCCAGTGGTCTCCCCAGCATTAAAGTTAGTGGGCGCAGAACCCACCTGAGATTTTGAAAACAGCCTTCCTCCCACCTGGAAATCCATTTGAACCCACTTGAAAATGAGAAAAATCATGAAAATTTTGACCAATTTTGGTCTGAATTGTGAAAATGAGAATTTTGCACCCTCTTGATGAAAAATCCTGGGGAGATCACTGTATCCATTAAAAAATATGGACATTTATATCCATTAAAAAATATGCTGACATGAGATTTCATTGAAATCAAAAAGAGAAGTACATATATATGAAAAGAAACTGATAAATATGACCAGAAACAACAAATACCAGATGACTCATCTAACTTTGTTTACTTCCATCTTACCAATCATGATGATTTTCTCACATCTAAACATTCATACAAGGATGTGAATTGTTAAAATCAATACAAGTTTATTTTGTAATTGATGAGTTGCTTATTACAGGTAGCTATATGTTTGTGTCAGTGGGAGATTAATCAAGTTCAAATGTTGATAAGAGATAAAAACAACAAAGTTATCTGTACACAGCTTGAGAAGTTAGTTCCTTGTTCTGATATATAAACATGATATGAAGACATTAATACAGCAATTGAGTTATATTAGCTCCTTTGTGCGAATGGCTTACCACCTCAGGGTAGAGGTAGACCCAAAGAAAAAATGATAGAATGTGTCCTGACTTTGTTTTTGGGACAGTGATGCCCAGTTCCCTTCCAAATGTCAGTAGATAAAATTAGACAGGAATTTTGGGGTAAATGAAAATTTTCAAATTTTCAGACCCACATTTTTAGATTTAATGAAATTTTGGGGCCCCTTACCCTCCCATTTTGGTTTCCTCTGATGAGACCAGATTCTAAATTTGAAACAAACCTCTATGTATCTACATCAGCATACATTGAGTGGATATACTCAAAAGTTACCCTTTGCATTCGTTTGACTTCACTTCTTAAAAGAGAGCTTCGTCTTCACTCTTCCAAACAACGATAAACCTGTGAACTCACCGTGCCAATCAGTGTTCGTCGGCCAAATTTGACCGATGTTCTATATATGGTCATTCCTTCTGACGTCATCCTTGAGCCCCGAATTGGCTAATGGCTAGTGTTGTCGCGATGTGCCATAATCGTACATCGATGCATCGGCAATTTTCAGTAGTAAACATCGATGCACATCGCGATGTACATCGAGAAAAAGTCCGAGAAAAGTGCACTGAAATACCGAACGCTAATGCACTAAAATACCGAACACCCGGTACATCCGGGAACTTCTAGAAAGGTGAAATGAAAGTAAAGTAATTTTTTACGGATTAATGGTTCATTTCGAATAGCTAAAACAGTTTTAAAGCGAAAGAATATCAGAAAACATTGGAAAATGAAATAAGACATGAGAAAGGTAAGCGATTTGCGTCAAAATAAGATAAGAAAGGGTGATTTTTAGCAAATTAATTTTTTTCAAAAACATCGATGTTTTGTTTCAGACATCGATGCATCGCCAGAATCAGCTTTGGCGATGTATATCGCGATGTATCGATTAATCGCGACAACACTACTAATGGCATGCGCATATTTAATATTAGCACGCGTTTGGTGTATGTTTCTTCAAGCTCGCTGATTGGTGGAAGAAAGGTCAGCTCGTAGGTCAGAAGTGATTTATTACCCAAACTGTCACTGGTACCTGTCGTGGGGGCGGGGCTACTAAACTGAAATATGGTCTCTACTAGGCAGAGTGTAGTTAAACTAGACTCTGCACGCAGGGTAACCATCATCTTAATTTGAAACAAACCCCTATCTACATCAGCATACATGGAGTGGATACACTCAAAAGTTGGAATATGTTGGGGAATGTGGCGAAAGACTGGCTTATGGGCCATGTAAACCAGCATAGAATATGCAAATTAGATAGATACATATATGTATAAATACATATATCTATGTATTCATGCATATATATATTATATGCCAGCACAGAATATGCAAATTAGATAGATACATACATTATTATATGTATTCATATATATGTATGATATATATACAAGCATGGAATATGTTAGTTAGATAGACTAGATACATATATAGAACTAGATACAGAACAATTAATTTATTAGTTGGCATAGCATATGTTAATTAAATAACAATAATTCATGAATATCCTAAATTGAGATATCTATGAATATGCTTTAATTTATGAGATAAATGTGTATTGTATACATGTTATATATGTATGTATTTGTATATATCTTCTAAGCTGGTCCCCAGTCCCCAGTTCCCAGTTTGAGATATCTATATGCTATATATAATATGTATGTATTTGTATGTATCTTTTAAGAATGTCCCCAGTCCCCAGTTCCCAGTTTGAGATATGTATATGCTATGTATAATATGTATGTATTTGTATGTATCTTTTAAGAAGGTCCCCAGTCCCCAGTTCCCAGTTTGAGATATTTATATGCTATATATAATATGTATGTATTTGTATGTATCTTTTTAAGAAGGTCCCCAGTCCCCAGTTCCCAGTTTGAGATATCTATGTTTGTGTATATATGTATTTGTATGTATCTTATAAGTTGGTCCCCAGTCCCCAGTTCCCATTTTGAGATATCTATGTTATATGTATGTATGTACATGTATCTTCTAAGCTGGTCCCCAGTCCCCAGTCCCCAGTCCCCAGTTTGAGTTATCTATATGTAGGTATTTGTATTAAACATTGACAGAATATGAAATGAATATAACATCGTAACAAAATTACAATTGTAAAATCTAATATACGTGTATTAAACATTGACAGAATATGAAATTAATATTCACCTTTCCACAAAGTAAAGAAAATCGATAATTTCCGGCGCGCTGATTGGTTGTATGCAAATGAGTCAAATCAATGATGTCAATGCCTGAAAGTTTTGAAGAATTAGTACAGAAAGCATAGGAATATTTTGAATTAAATGCAATAAAAAGGATTCTATTTGCCCAATGCACTAATTATTTTTAGTCAAATATGAAATATGGAAGGGGCACTTTCATTCCAAACCTTGTGTAATTTAATTTAATCATTTTTTGACAGAGCTATTGTTTATTAAGACTTCTTAGATCATCCTCACATACCCGGGCTCACGTGTCTCGTGTGATTGTAAACAAAAAATGTAAATTGAGAAGTTAAAAACGACTCGGTTAAATCATTTGTAGTGGTCATACAATATCCTGTTAAATGGTTATTATGTCGTAGTAAGAAATTCCATCAGAAATTCACCATGAGTAACATTCGCACAAAGTGTTACCTTTTGGTACTTATTCGCCATCATCGATGACAATAATGATCAGCAATGCCAACATATCATCAATAAACATTGTATGATATACGC